CTCGTCGGTGAATCAGCTAGTCGCCCAGCCTGTAACATAAACACGGGCCAGTTATGGCACTTGTGGCTCGCGCACACCTCCGAGGTGAGAAGGACCGGGAAAAGTGGGTGTCGTGGTTTTCTCCCTGCCTGGTGGCATATGACTATAGTACCGTAACCGCGCATAATGATAACAGCAGCTATGTCAGGTCTTGCGGCGCCAGGAACGACTTATTGTCCACCCACGGCTATGCAGTTGTTGTCGCTCTTTACGGGGGGCGCCACTTACATCCTCGAGGAATCGTAAGCTTGTTGCACTGTGACCAGGCATTAGCGTTGCGGCTTCAGGTTTTAGACCCCGCTGGTAGATCGACTCAGCTCGCATAAGAACCGGACCCCATTCCTGCCTCCCTCCAGTCCTCCCAATGCTGCCGCGTTCTTTGGCTAGTTGCTCCGGATGTTGTGAACACGCATCTCGTGGGGCCGTGACCTGTGACTTTCCATAATGCAACGCGCGCAGTGTTGCAATATGGGACGTCACAGACCTACGCACCACTTCAATTTGCCCGCTAAATTTAGCGGCGAAGTTGAATTGGTGTATAGGTCACGTGACATCAGGTCACGTGACATTAATTTCTTCTCTAAATTTAGCGGAAAAATTAACGTCCCGTGACGTACACACCGATTAGGTTTCAGCATTAAATTTAGCGTGAAAATTAACATCACGTGACCTAAATTGGCCCGCCACATTTAGCGGGACCATTGAAGTCACGCGACCTGATGTCACGTTATGCTAAGACGTTTCAGTAATGCAACGCAAACGCCCGAAGTTTGGCATACAATTCTTTTCCCTTTTTTTTTTTCTATTTCATTGGTGGGTTGCGCAAGTGCGAAATTATTCCCGAATCATCCCAAGTCCGGAGTGACAACTCCGCGACGCTGCCATACACAAAGATATTCATTTGAGAGTTTTGGTAGATTGTTTCCACTGTCCCGCAAACTTTCTCCGCAGCCGCCTTCGAGATCCGCGACTCTGCAGGCAAGGCTAGCGCCGCGCATGCGCAATAGCGGCTTCTTCGTTGCGGAGGTCTTAGCGGAGGGGAAAACTCGGTCTACGAAAACTCCCTATGGAACGCAATCAACCGCTCCGTCGGAGCCCAATCCGCTAACGGCGGAAGCTGGCCATTGCGATTTCCTGCACAGCCGGGAAAAGATTAAGATGGATTAGGATACAGGCTCGTGCATGTCATCTGATGCCGCCTCGCTAATCCACAGCCAATCCTTTGGGGCTCAGCCTTTCCCGGTATACACTGTCCTCCGTATTAAGAGGACGCCGATCGCAGATGGCACGCCAGTAAAGCAGGGTTGGGCAGGAATACTCTCAAAAGTATTTGGAGACACAGATATTGGGATACATGGCAAAAACAGCTAAAATACTGATACTTAAATACATTTTAAAAAAATGTTTCGTGATACGTAATAGAAATACACTTGAAAAGGTAGAATATTATTTGGAAATCCAAATACAGGGTACAGGGACACAGGGAATATGGGAAAATATATGTTAACTTTCGCATAATAAAGAAGGATGTCGTTCGCAGTCAGAGACACGAAACGTCCCTGACGAAACTCGGTCGCGACCCTCTGTGTGGAGGAGATCAACAATTCTTTTTTAAAACAGTAAAAAAAAAAAGTTAAAAAAAAAATCGTTCCTATGGTATTGCGATACCGAGAATACACCCGAAACTGGATTTCGATACGGAAAGACAAAGTAAAGTTAAAAAGATTATATCACGATACAGAAATATAAATACATAATGTATTTCTGAAATATTATCGCGATACATTTGTATCGCGATACCGCCTAACCTTGATTCCGAAGTTTCTCTGGGCGGATTCCCGGCCAAGACTCAGTCATACGCCCCTTTTCCCCCTCACGATCAGACGTGCATGGTACTCAATAGATGTAACTAAATTGCTCGTAATTCGTTACTTTTCGGAGTAATTTTGTAATCATTTGATTACTTTATTACAAAGTAATCACGAGAGTAATTTGATTACTTTTGAAACTACTAAAATTACCGTGTAACCGTTGCTTCCCTTCCTAATGTTGGCCCTTTTGTCTCCACAAGTTTTCTACCAAGGTATCCTCGGACCAAATCTCCGACAGAAGGACAATCCACGAATACATCGGTGTATTAAAAAAATGAGTGGTTTGTAATTCCGTGATTCTAGATCAATAATGGACAGCACTAAAGCCCCGTTTTCAAACCAGCGGGAATATCTGGAGATTTAAAAGTTTGAAATAATAAAAAAAAAGTAACGTGTTTCTTTTTTTTAATTATCGCTTAATTAAACTTTTTCTGTTAAGTGATAAAGGAATCTAACTGAATACCTTTTTTAACGAAAACTAATTTTAATTGCAATCGATCACTTTTGTTCGGTGACAACCGCAGCGGACGCTATAGCATCATGGGAGTTAGTCGAATGCCGGGTGGATATCACGTGACCTACTTGACATAACCATGTCATGGCATGTTACACCACGATGTCACTCGGAGATTAACGATTTGCGAACCTCCAACAAACATCCGAACAACAACGAACGATCGCAATGTTCCCGCGGGAATATACTTTAGATGACAATCATAAAAATATCAACAAGCAGTAATTAAACTTTTGGGCGCGTATAACTTTTTTTTAATTCCACAACTTTAACAGTTTCTTTTTTCTTTTTTTTTGGGGGGGGGGGGGGGAGGGGGGGGGGGCACATTGAATTCTATAGGCCACAACACAAAATTACCACTTTCTGCTTTTCTCAACAAAAGAGATCCTAATATTCTCGAGGACTGCAATCGCCTGGGTATCACATAGAACGCAAATCAATTAGAATTTTATTATTTCTTTGGCAACTTTTCTTTTATTCTGCGGAATGTCCCAGAAAGTTCAATGCATGTCAAATTTGTCGTGTACCTCTCACTTCTTGTTGTTGTTATTGTTTTATTGTGTCGCATATTTATAGGTTCAGACTTAACCCGCGGCCCAACTACTTATACTAGAATGTACTAATGAGAGTGAGGCACTCAAACTAATAGGAGAGACTGCAGAAACAGTTGGAGGCGTCTTTCTTATGTATGACCGATCACGTCAGATTGGGCATGCGAAAACTGTCTGTAGAGATGTTCAAAGCATACGAGCGTATGGAGCAAACATGCTGGGAACATGCGTGTCACGTGATCCCCTGCCGTCAGGTGACGCAATGACGCGACATCATCGTGTCATATGACGTTGCACCGCGATGTCACGTGGGACATTGACGTCCGGTGACACCGTGGCATCACGTCACGAGGAAACGTGACGTCACGTGACACTAATTTCGTGTGCCATTCATCACGTCACATTCCACGGTGACGTCAATGTGTGACGCCGTGATGTCGGTAGCCATACTTCACTGCTCGGTCGGGATACTAAGATACAGTATGTGTCAGTATGAGCTGGCCCAGCGGACTTTAGGCCGGGGCGCCACGAAATTCATGCTGTAAGCATCGGCTACGTTAAGCTGTTAAAAAAATTGGTTCGAATGAACTGCAACATCTCCTATTCGGTGTCACGCCGGAGGCACTTTCTCTGCGTTTTAGCCAGGGTTTTAGCCCTTTCGGTTACTGCTATAACGGGCCAGCTCACATTGCCGCTGACTGTACAAGACCTCGCTGTTAGCAGATAAAGTTCCCAACCGTTAGACATCTATACAACGAGATACTATTGACTTTCCGAGCACTACGTACTGTGTTCCTGTGTGGTCGGCGCAAACTTTGTGTGCTTCGTAATTTTAGCCTTTCAAAGGCTTGTCGTCTCAGTGAGAATCGGGAAGGTCAACAATGGCACCATAAAGGGAAATATCTATGGCACCATAAAGGGAAATATTCGACAATATGCGAGTGAATGAACTGCACTTGATCGAATTGAAAAAAGGTTAAGAAGCCGCCAAAAGACAAAATATTTGGTGGCGCCGGGATTCGATCTCCGAGTCTCCCAATGATCGGTCAGGTACGCTAAGGTATTCACTGGACGCCATATATGAGTGCGCCGTTCACTGCGCATGCTCAGAATAAGCTTACATATATGAGCTATTAAGACCTGCAAGCTTGGTGGTGTGGAAAGCACCCTACAAAATAGCTGTGGAAGCTCGGCGTCACCACACGCGCAGCAGCCGCGGACTCGACTATGGCCGCCAGTAAATACTCCGCTGATTCTTAAAGCAGTGTCACTCTCATTAGCCCCTTCTACTAAAGGCCGAACACGCAACACAAAAAAAAAATTCAATATATAACACTTTCCAAAATGGCCAAGCAACGTCCAAGGCTAAGATTTCAGGAGTTACTCGCTCATATTCCCTTAAGTACAGAGCAAAGAAGACAAGGAACCATCGTGTCAAGCTCGGGCACGTAAGCTCGAGCCCATGTCTATCGCGTGCGCGCTCGCTAATCTCGTTCTTAACTGGTCAAGCATTCGGAAGCACCCTTCTACACGTCTGTGTGCCCCTAGCCGCCCGGCTTAACTATTCCAAAAATAACCTCGACCACCCGAACGCATCAACCAGCCACCGCCGTCCAGAACTCCCGCTCTCCACCACAACGGCCATCGTTCCTGCGCAACGGCTGCTGCGCATGCAGTTGTTCTTTCTCTCGATCGAGTCGGAAGACAACGAATGCGAGCCTTTTGACAACCAAGTCCTTGAAGTCAAACAGAGGACAACGACCTTCTGGAACAAGTACCGGCCTCGACAAATCGCTTGGCAGCCACGACCTCGCCTCTAAATTTCACCAGACCAAGCTACTTTTTTAGGCCGTCCGCTTTTGTAGCAACAGAAGAACAGACCTCAGTGGACTCCTCCACCCCGGCTCCTCAAACAAGAGCAGACTCGGCAAAGGAACACCGATGTTTCTTGGCGATCCCGGCGAAGGCCGGCTCGACGCCTGCGCCGCTCGTGCGAGCCCGTGCCTCTCAACAGTGATTGCCAGCATGGTCTACGCGAGCCTCTACCTCCTGGTACCCTACATTGTGAGGACCATACTATATCCGGCCTGCTTCACGCCCGACTGCTACGACTTCCCCAGGGAACTGTCCATGGCCATGAACGTGGCCGAAGATCCCTGCACCGACTTCTATCAGTTCGTGTGCGGCCGCTGGAGTAAGGTGACTGGATTTCCACTTAATTCTTTAGATAGAAGCTATCTGATAGTGTGAAAGATTCCCCAGGATCATGCGCTGTGACTGCTTGTGCTTAACGTTTGACAAAAGTGAAATGATGACCTGATGGGTCCTTAACGCTTACTCCCACAAGTTACACCGGGTATAAATGCTAGTTTCTATTATTATTATTAATATTTATTAGTATTATTTTTTTAAATTATTACTGTCGTTTTGGTGGTGATGACAGTGATGATAATGATCCAACATTAGTTCAAAATGTTGAAAAATCCGCATTTATTTTTTCTGACCTGATGGTGCTCTATCTGCCACGAGCGTTTCAGCTTTTGTGGTAACTGTACGCCATTGTACTGGTTTAAATTCAACGCAAGCTATAAGGGGGCATAATTATACAATCATTACCAGCACGGCAGAATGCCGTCCGTGTGTATACAATATATAGATATTTTAAATGTCGGCTTCTCACGAGAGCCGGCTAACCCTAATACTTCGAAACAACTACTACCGGAACCACAGGTTCACCCCGTGGACAAGAACCAGTTTACCAGCCTCCAGCGCAAGATCTTCTTCAGCCTCTACGACGACATCCGCAAGGGGCCCTGGAACCAACAGAGCGCCCGCGAGAAGTCCGCCATCGCTCTGAGCATGTGCGAGGACATCTTCATCAACCGCCAGGAATACCTGGACGACCTCCGCAACGTCCTCAGTCAGCACCAATTAGGCTGGCCCGACATTCCCGACACAGACGTGGACGTCCTGGACGTCCTCGTGGGGCTCGCGCTGGACGCAGACATCCACCTCCTCTTCCAGATGAAGCTTGTGCCAAACTTCAAACAGGACGACCGGCTTATACTGTCCCTGAGCCAAAGTCCCAGTTTGATACTCTGGTTCCAAACCCGGGCCCTACACCTCGCCGGACCATCGTTGGGAGAAGCCCTGCTACAGGTCGCCAATGCGCTGGGCTCGGGACAGGACTACACTGCCTTGGTGGAATCCCTGCTCAAGACGGACACGAACCTTATGTCTATGTACTTCGAGGGAAGGGACAAGGACCTGATCGGCTACTCCCAGTTCCAGGAGCTTGGCGACCTAACCTCAGGCCGGATCTCGTCCGAGCGATGGCTGGAGGCCGTTAACAGGCACCTGCCGCAGGAAGCCCAGATGACAGCCCAGAACGAGTTGTACATCATCGGCACGGCCTGCCTTGCAGTGACCAGTCGCTTCCTAAACAAGTACGCCAGAGAGACCCACCGACTGCGCTCTTTTCTAGGCTGGCATGTTGTGCGCACTTTGTTGCCACTGGCTTCCTACCGGTTGACCAAGAAGCTGATGGGAGAGTCCAGCGAGCCCCAAATGGCCATCACGTACCTTGAATCCTGTATCGGACGCGTGTCTGACATCGCGCCCTACGCTCTGGCGCACTTTTTTTTCGGCAAGTTCCTGACGGAAACGGCGCTCAGGACAGCCGAGTCGCTCGTCAACGGCATCCGAGAGGCGTCCCTGTTGTCCTTCCGCAATTTGTCCTGGATGGAGGAAGGCACCAGACGCGAGGCCCTGCACAAGCTCGCCTCGCTCCACAAGGTCGTCGCCTTTCCCAAGGGCCTGTCATCCAAAGAGGCTATAGACAACCATTACTCTTATCTTCCCGAATTCAGGCAAGTCCAGACCTCAAAGCTTAAAATAGGGAAGATCTTGAATTCCTCGGCTAGCTCGCGAGATTTTTACCAAACCTTGAAACAGTCGAAATATTTGAGCGTTCAATATTGTTCCTTAAGGGCTATGAAGAAACAATGCTGCGTGTTGGCAGTTGCAACCAAAGTTTGCTCGCGACATATATTTTTTTTTTTTGCTACTTGTTAGGCACGAGGTGATTGGCGCCACATTTTGGAATACCTCTGACTCGAGCGCAAAAGCATAGTAGCACTTTACGTTTGCCTGCTAGCTGTTTCCAAAACACGTAGCATTCCACACTGTTTCAGCCTAACTTGGCAAAAAGCAAAAGTTACGGCACCCGTAAATTAATTACAGTGACAGAGTAAAACATGTGACAGCTATGCAGACAAGTTCACTCCGATGGTACATTGCCACGTGCTTCGCTCGAACTCCCTCATTGGCTTAAAATGGCCGTAGTTTTCGCCTTTATACAAGTTCTGGTGAGACAAAGTAGAGTCGAATGATCTACAGTAACGTGTAGTAGCTCTTAAATTAAATATCTACTAAGCTAAGCAGATGAGTTCAGGATTACTTACTGTATATACCCAATACTTGTCATCTTTTCGGAACAACAGCCACTGACATAATATTGCTACATGTATGGCTTGCATTGACGTTACATCAGCAGGACATAATGGTAGCCTTGCTGCTGAGCGCCTACCTTCGGCAGCATACATTTTGCATCACCGATTTTTTTTCTCGCCAATAACAAGTAAGAATGACCAACAGCATGGTTCGACGTCGTTCATGTTCAAGCCACGCATGCTTCAACGAGACGTAGCTGTCTTCAATGGATACATTCTCTTACAATAACATCATGGTCTAGCTTTCCATACACACTCAACTCAATAATTCCGCCGTCTGTCAATCGAGCGGCAACGTATAGTATAGAGAACGGCTTAATTGTGCATCTTCGACAGAGGGGTTGAAGGGCGGAGCTGGAGGAAGCGTCTAGAAAGTCCGTTGGTCAAAGCTGGCGAACCGTCGCCACCGTCTTTGCTCGCAAACTGTATGTCCAACACAGCGTGAGACTACCCCGGTTTATGGACGTGGTAAGGCTATAGGCTAACTTTCGTGTGCACGGAGACTAAACACAGTTGATTAACCCAAAGAAAACAACATGATTTTTGTATTTTCGTTCACAAAAACCTGAACAGCCACAGTGACTGCCAGTATCTCAACGTGTACGTGTGTGCGCGCCGCAGGGAACCGTTTCTACGCACATACACGGAATCTCTGCGCGCCGCACTCGTGCAATCCAAGCCGCTGCTGCGAGGCGGGCGGGGCAACAACTCCATCAACCGCGAGCTGTACCTGCACACGCCACTGATCGCCGTGAACGCGTTCTACATGTTCGTGTACCACGTGATGTTCATCATGCCCTCCATCCACTTCCCGCCCTACTTCGACAGCAGGATGCCGCTCGCCGCTCGCTACGGCGGCCTCGGTCACGTGATCGGTCACGAGATCACTCACGTCTTTGATCCCTTCATGGGCAACATGGACGAGACGGGAGTCAAGGTGGGCATCCCCGGCGCTTTTCTGAATAAGCGGGAGGCGAGATTGCATTCATACGTGCGACGCGAGGACCAGGGTGACGGGGAGGTCGTGATTGGGTCGTCGTAGATTTTGTTTCGAAATGTTTTCTTCAATGAAAACAGGCCTCGCCGCATCTGAAAATTCTCCGTAACACACAAATACAGACACACTGCCTTACAGGACGACGTTGTTCGCGTTTTTAAGCAATTGTTTACGAGCGCCCCCACCCCCTTCTTTAAGAAATTAAGTGTTTTTCATGCTTACCGCATACCCCTTCGATTTCTTGGACGAGCACACTGTTTTCACACGATTAGAAAGCAACAGCGTGAAAGGAGAAGGACATAGACAAACATAAAAGAAAAAAAAAGTATAGTTAATTGCCGGGCAATTGTGTTGCATACGTAAAACGTTCAAACACAGGTCACGTGACGTCGATTTTCCCGCTAAATTTAGCCGGGAAACTGAATTGGTGTGTAGGTCACGTTATGTTAACTTTTCCGCTAAATCTAGAGAAGAAAATAAATTGACGTATTGGTCACATGATATCAGGTCACGTGACAACAATTACCCCACTAGACTTAGCCGGAAACTTGACGTCATATGACCTAATTTTACGTGACCTATACACCAATTCAACTTCCCCGCTAAATTTAGCGGAGAAACTGAATTGGTGCGTAGGTTTTGGTCGTCCCATAATGCAACACTGCAGGAGTTGCATTATGGGACGTCACAGGCCATTGCTGCACGAAATCCAAAAAAACTAGCCAAGGAACGTTTCACGCTGAAAGGGCAGCGCTATTTGTTTCTCTTTTGTGCGTCACTTTGTTGTGTCCTTTTCTTTTTTCGCTATTAATTGCTGATCACCAACTCTTCCAGGCACTAAGGACGCGCACCAAAAAACGATCACTGAGCATAAACAATGATCTCATTCGTGCTGCTTGGTAACACGCAGTAGCTACGTTCGATTTACCTTCACCACCTGCAGCGGTGCAGAAAAGTGTAAAGAAATACACATACCGGAAGTACACTGCACTACACGTTTCTACACCGGTGCAGGAGGTGCAGGTAAAATCGAACGAAGCTGGTGTGTTCAATCTACACTCCACACCACAAACATCCGCAATGCAGAGAAGGGCATGAACACAAGTGCACGGCTTTGGAAAGTGCCTCCTATGCCTGAGTTCTCGTAAGAACAAAAGCTTTCTCCTGAGCTAGGCTCACGCACCTGTTTGCTTCTTTACCGCAGACATTTGTGTGGTAAACATATATTAACTAATGGCCATAGCTGTGAGCGATATTGTCGAACGCGTGACGAGTGCAACAATTCACCAGATTCCTCGCGCACCAAAAAACAAGCTGCTCTTTCCAGTCAAGTTATTCACTCATTAACTCACAATGGCGACCATAGAGGAATGCTTGCCACTGTAAGTTCATTAACAAGAAACGCTTCCTTTGAATTATAGCAATAACTTAATAAGGAATCTCTTCACTTTGTTTGCTTGTGTTGGTGTTGCTCGCACATGGCGTCACACTGTTCCATGACATCATTGTGACTCGTGTCACCTGACGTTACGGATTCACGTAAAATCACAATGTCATCTTGTGTCATGGTGTCACATGACACCACAGCATCACGCAACATCACAGCGTCACGTGACGTCAGTGTCCCGTATCACGTGACTTCATTGTAACACGTGACATCACAGTGACGCGTGGCGCGATATCACAATCGTCCCACTAAACTTAAACCGGGGAATTCTCTCCACTAAATTCCGATAGCCATCCCTGCTCGGAAAAGGGTATTTATTCACACGGGGGAGAAATCTCTCCCTTCGCTTCCCGGGATGCATCACGTGGCAACATCTCACACCTTTGCACGGAGCCGCACTGACGTACACATCCCATGGAGGACGGGGGAGCTACTTCTCGGGCTTCAAAAACAGTCCCCGCCTTGGGGTGGGGAATGTTTTTGTTCTCGAGGTAGTCACAATAGTCCATGCTAAGGTGAGACAAAGTGTAGTCCCGCTGATTTCGCTGATCACTGACGGCACGCGCATCCTTCCCCAAAAGGCATTCCCTGTCTGAATGTATTTCGCTGTATTTCGCTCTAGTTCCACTTGAAAGAAACACAAACAACCGACAACGACGACCCTGAAACACGTAAGGCACAAGCAGCCGATAATTCCTTTGGCAGGCTTGCAGTCACTTGGTACTCGTGAAGTAAGCACGAGATTCAGCGAGTCTGTCAAAGGTACCATCGAGTGCATGCTGCACGGGTTTGAGGCTTGTGATTGTCGGTTGTTTCTGTTTTGTCGTTCTCGCGGGACGACTCGGGCACTCAAAACCCCATCAAGTGCTATCGCACTTTCGTTGCATATGACGGAACGTCTAAACCAGGCTGTTTTATTTATTGCGGTCTTCTCGTCAAGGTGAACTGGTTTTCGGACGTGTCTCGGGTTCGCTTCATCGGCCGTCTCGAGTGCCTGGTGCGCCAGTACAGCGAGGCCTCGCACAGCTACCGAGAGCCCACCTCGCTGACCCTGTCCGAGGACTTCGCCGATGACAGCGGCTTGGAGCAGACCTTCGCGGCTTACCGAAGCGTGGTGCCCAGAGGGGACGCGAGTTCGGGCGTCGGCACGCTGGAGAACGACCAGCTCTTCTTTATGGCCACGTGCCACAAGTGGTGCTCGGCGCGGCTCGAAGGGAAGAGCGCCTACTACTCCCCGAAGAACATGCGGTGCAACGTGCCGCTCATGAACAGCTGGGACTTTGCCAGGGCCTTTGACTGCAAGCCCGGAAGTCCCATGAACCCGGTCCACAAGTGCTCCTTCAAATGAATTACGCCCACCGAAATGTTGCTTCTTTTGCCTTAGTATTTTCTGAAAACGCGCGCTGTCTGCAGCACCTGTGAAAGCGGAATGCATTTTATTAAAACAAAAATAATAAATTGAATATAGATTACGCGTTTCGGTGACTTTGCAGGGATTTTTTTATGGGGTAGAGGGGGGGGTAATTTGGTAATAGGTATATTCAATAGGCACCATTTTGAAGATCAGTAGACTCTCATCTAGATAATAAACGTTTCTCAAAAGATTTCCCGCTGTGCGACCCACGTCGGCCATGTCTACGCTCGCACCGCCCTCTTTCTCGTCGGTCCAAGCGCTTGCCTGCCTAGTTTCCTTTCGTTCCGCTCTCCCAGGGTGGCGGTCCCGCCTCGCGTGTCTAGTTTCCGCCGGCTCCTCGGGGCGGGTCTCTGTCGTCTGCTACACAGCTTATCTGGTTATCTACCTTCACAGAGTGGAGTTGCTCATAATTTTTGGTATCAGCCTTTACTAAGGTGAGCTCCAGTTTAGTATTCAGCACTCGCGTTTACTATCAAAGCTTTTATAAATGTGTATACTTTCGATGTATGAACATAAAGACCATCTCAATCATGTTGCATTAGGCTCTTATAAATAGGGCAAGCTCCGGCTCATCACCAATCGACTGATGAACCCTCGCATAGCTATGACCGCACGTTTCCGCCTAGCCCATTTTAATTGCGGGATATTTATATAAATAATCCATGGCTTCAGGTCGAGTTTGGGGGCACTGGGATCAAATCTGATGCAAAGGTCATAGATCGCCCCAGTCAGTCATCTACCTGGGCTGCGCCCCTAATTGTTTCGACAAGAACAGCGGTAAGAAGCTCGCTAGAAGCGCTTATGTTTTCCTCACTCTAAAGCGCTTTACCTCACTCTGGCTAGTGGACGTGCTACCCACCCGGTTATGTTTTAAATATTATAGTGAATAGAAGCTTGGCATTGCACGTGGTTGCACCAGCAAAGGAAGTTGAAGTATCCTCACTCTGGATTGTGAAAAAATTCCACCAGCCGGCGATGCGGAAACTTCTCACCACGAATAGGCGTGCGATCATGTAATCATAGAAGCGTGAGCACATTTCCGACCTCGGGTTCACAGTCCCGGACTTCACTCAAAAAATTAACCCCCCCCCCCCCCCCCCCACAGCGTCGAACCATGCCGCCGAATCTGGTAGGCGGATTGACCTCTCGCCATTTAAACGCTCACAAAGCCCGATTTGTTTATCTTTACTCAATACCAAAGTGAAAGGCGAAGAAAATTACGAAAGGCCTTATACGAGTACATGTGTTCATAATAAGTAAAACGTATTTACACTGGTGAAGAACGCCTAAAAGCGGGACATACTATTCAACGCCACCGCTCTGCGCTAGAGTGGGAGTTCGATAACGTAACATTACGGATAAATTTTTTTTTCTACACCAAAATGCGAAGTCCCTCTCCAAACCTGGAACACAAATATCCTCAGATAGCGACTTACAGCAGGTTTTGAGTGAGCTTCATTTTGAAAGCCATTCTAGTCAGAAGGGGCCGGGAAATGCATGTTACAAGCCGAGACATCGCAATATTCTACGAAGGCAGTCATCGAAAATATGTAGATGAATGAACCGTACTTGCTGAAATGAACCAAAGTTTATGAAGCCGCCGAAAGACAACATTTTTGGCGGAGCCGGGATATTGATATGTAAAGGTCGTCCCGCAGTCGAACTGCTCAATTTTGCTATTTATTGTCCGCCGGCTATGGTTCTCATGAAGGCCAGACTTCATTTTCTTAACGGGAAACCTTGCAGAAAATGAAATAAAATGAAATTAGTGAGAACAAAAAACGGTTAGCAAAACCATGGAACTGATTACTGCTGATCGCTGCAATACCAGGTGATCCTAGCACATGTAGCGACGCGACAAAAATCGCGCGGATATTGGCATATAGTTTGATCAGATTCGATGACTGCGCCATCTACTTCCGTCACGGTATCACTGGATTGAATCGATGCAGGCAATGAGCACACGTCCCCCTTCAGCAACCCTATGGCTACTTCCGACTGTCTTCCCATTTAGAAACCGACACGGCGTTGCCGCTCTGTAAAGCGTGCACCACCGCACTTACACTTGCTAAGGGAAGAAGCACCCTTCCAGGTAGGCGCCCAATAAAACTTGTTGAGGTTCACACAAGATATTTTCCAGCAGTTCTGTTTAAAAAACAAGTTTTACAATTGCCATAGTGATCATCTTATTGGTGTGTTGTACACAATTGTAAAAGAGTCGAATAAGTTAAGTATTCTAATCGGAAACTTCGAAGATAAACCAAAACGTTAGGGATAAAAGGAAAGCAACGTATGAAACAAATACTGGACAAACATGTTTTGTTTTCTCTTCGTTCTATCTGTCGCTTTTCTTTTATTCCTGTAATTCACCAGCGCGCTCTAATTCGTCAAGAAAAATATTACGTCAGCTTTTTTTCTTCATGACTCGTCCATTCGATTGAAAGCAGTTCTTGGAAGGGTATGATGCAGTCGAGCTATTCTTGCAGGCCGTTCTCAGGCCTCAAAAAGCATGAGACGGCACGTGCCTTCACTGCAATTTGTCACATCAAGACACTTCCTTAAGTTGCAGGGCTTTGGGACACGTTTGAGAGGCTGAAAAAGTGAAATTAACCTTATTTTAATTTTAGGACATTCATAAAACCGAACACATGCCGGGCGTTTCGTTGTGAATGAAAATGTACATTCCAATCTTTTAAATAATCCACATCCTTAGGTTTGGTCCTGTACCGGACTGGGACTTGTGGTAAACGTTTATTGTTGGGATCTGGTCCAGGCACGAAATAGAGGAATGGCTTTATTCGCGTGATAGAAGCTTCGAAATACCTCATGAAATGTTGTCTAATTGAGTAAGAAATTTTATGATATTACATTGCCCCCTTTGATTCATTTTAAGGTCGCTACCATTCACCGATTTGTCATAGTGTCCTCTGCCCTACTATTATTAAATCGTGATTGTGAGTTCACGGTAAATAGATGGAAGGATGCTAATGGCTGTTCCCTTTATAACAGACGGTAGCTTGCGCCACCTAGCCTAGAAACTAAGAGTATGATTCATTCCCTCGCCCTCCTAAGCCATTTTGCTCCCTCGCTGCATTTTTATATCACCAGGAAGTGTGCACTACACAGACTGCCATATTTGCCAGCCCAATTGCTTCGCCTAAATTGAAGTTTTAGTAGACTAAGTTGTTGCATAAACCTTCAGCCACGTAACGGGATCAGAGGACCTGTTTCACAATACTCCTTACAGAGCGCGCTGCTCAAACATACTTTTGCTACATTATGCGATTTTTGTCAACTCTACGCTCAATTCCTTTCAAGCTTGCTTCATTAAAAAAAAAAAAAAAAATTTTCCCTTCGTTACTCAGTTACAGCGGTACTAAACTGAGTACTGCGTAATGCTAAAATTAACGTTGTGCTAAGAAGCTCTCCTTCAGTTGTTGTTCTTGTTGTCTTGTTGTTGTTTTTTGTCATTAAAGTAACCTATGTAAGGAATTTCTCATTTTGTTTCCGGATGTGACTTAAAATGTCCCGGAAATTCATTTTTGACCGTGTACGGTGAAGCTACTGCATGCGCTTGGTAACAACATTTGCATGGCGTGCGGTTAGAAAATACCCATAGAGGTCAATATCCTTTCTCCAAATTGAGACGTGTCACTTTTTAATGGTATGTTTTAGCCGCCTACCCACTGGGACAATTTTATGAAGTCAAGTATCTTCGTAGTAGAAGACATTAGGCATGATACAAATACGTACATAAAGTTCACTGTAAGTGTTGCCTTTCGTTACAGCTGCAATGCGGAACCAAATCATTCCTTAGCAAGTTAAGCCAACCAGAATTCACCAAAACCTTTCACTGCTATCCGGATCAATAGTGCTGCTGCACCTACGCAGATCTAGCAGACAGCTTGCACAACCACATTATAAGAAATATTTTGTTTGTCGCGTTTACGACTGCAGGTGTATAAAGAGGAAGAAAAACTGGTGGTTTGTGGAGTAACCAAATGGGCTTAACATGATAAACAGACTAATCCAGAAACAGCGGTAAGGTCTAGGCTGGGAAAACAGGGTCTATCGCTCATGCATACATGTGTCCTGACTGCCGATACAATGCCTGTTTTCTTCTCTTGTATCGCCGCAGTGTCCTACACGACGGACGACCTCATCTTTAACTGGGACGACGAAGTCCCCCTGGTGGTGGACGACGCCATCGAGCTGCCCCAACACAACCTGGTGGAGACTGCGCTCAGCGACTGTACCACCGTCTACTCCACGGGTATATCTCGATAACGTGGATGCTTGGGCTATTCCATCCAAGGGTATAGCTCCCGTAGGGCACTGCAGACGCCACTTAAACGTGTTTCGACCTTCCTTCGGAGCTTTCTGTTCTGGACGCTTGGGTGCTATGATATTTTTGGGCGGTCACCAATGAAAGGATGTGAAGCGATCCGGAGCTGTCACCGCATGGAAACGTCACTGCTTCTGCCGGTCAAGACACGAAGTTCTGGGAAGGGGTCAGAAATTAACGCGTACAAGCAATAATTCACTCGTCTTTTCAACTCCGGCCACTGAACTCGCACCCCACTAGTTCCTCATGTAGTTCGACTTGGAACTATGCACAGAATGCATCGCACATGCCAGTCAAAAGAGAACACAAAGAAGAGGGATATCACGAGCGTTGAGATCTGCGGAGATCTACTAGGCTAAGAAAGTTTTGTTCCCTAAAATACAACACTGCACAGAGAGGCTGAGCATATGAAATAACCAAGTGTTATCTACGCCACTGGACTTATTGTGTACATCTCTGAACCCCCCTCCGCATTTTTTGTAGGGACGTGACACTTGAACAAGTTTAAGCGGCATCAGCGTTCAAAACTACATTTTATTGAGCCTAAGTTATCTAGAATTAAAGTTAAGGTGCCGTGTAATGTTTGGAGTGCGTAACCCTTGACGGTCAAACTCGTACTGGCATAAAATGTTCAAAATGGAAGCTTATAAATGAATTGAAATGAATTACTACCAAAAACCACAAGAGGGAGCAACAAGCTTACTTCGATGGCTCTGAACTCTCGTTCGACTGTTTTATTAAATGAAAAAGACCGGAAAATTTAACAAGCCGCCCAGGGACACATGATGCATCCCACTTGGAGAGTCTCCCAGTGGGATGCATCATGCGTCCCTCTGCGGCTGGTTAAACTGTCCATTTTCCGGGAAAGCTAGCCTTTCTCACTGGCTATATGTTCGCATATTTGATGCAACAGCCACTTCTCAAAACGTTCTCGCTAATATTTATCTTAGGGATTAAGTGAAACTCTAGATATTTCATTGTGTCATAGCGACCAAGAGCAGTGACGTGGCGCGTTTATGACAGAAGATTGGCTGAGCTGACGAATAGCTGCAAGCTTAATAGGACAGAGTAACATTTAATTGGCCTGAATCAGTGTTTTAATAAAATCGTGTGAGGCAAAAGAAAAAAAGAAAGAGTAGTCGTTAGTTGTTTAGACAGCAGGCGCTTAGTCTGCCAGAGTATGACGACACTGTTACTTGCTGCAGATGAGAAATTTAGCCAGCGCAGTACGACTGCCAGCCTGGGCGTTTTAACGTGCACCATGCAGTATTGATACACAACCACAAGCCGGCACGATCCTCATTCACATTGAAACGGGCTGGGATTGAACTCAGGAACCCTGGGTTCTGCAGCGCGAGCTTTCGCTCCACGTTTTCCAGCAGATTTCACTGCTGGAAGCTCGCTCCAGCAGGGAACAAAACAGTACTCGCGGAGAATTCTTTGCCTGTACAGTTCTTTGATGCTAGGGCCCCTCTATCGTGAAAGCAACAGAAACAACGGACTTTTTACAACGAAGCTGTATACCTCTACCAGCGAAGGAAATTTTCGTGTCGTTGGCGCTTAAACGAAAAAACTCCCGGCGAACAATTAAAGGCAAAACCACATATCTCCTTTGAAATCAGACATACAGCATACAGCTCAGCATCCATTTTAATGAAGATAGAGAATAAAGAAAACCAACAAAACAAGCATCAAAACCACATGATGGATTATAAGGCGCGTGTGAACGATAGGAATACCCTCCCACGCGTTCCGGTAAAGATCAGGTTTGCAGCTGCTTCGAAAGGGGTTGACGTCATTCGAAGCCCCGTGTGAAGTGCAAACCGCATAATGGATGATAACGGCGCCTGCGAACAATGCGAAGTACATTCCTTCTCCCCGCGTGCGTTTTCGTGTCGGCGTTCTCATGGAAAAAAACTTGAGAAGATTGAAGCGAAAAATACAAACAACATACAGCACAACATTCGTTCCAATAAAGAATAAGCACAAAACAAGCATCCTAACCATATAATGAATGATAAAGACTTCCTGAAAACAATGCGAAGCACATAGCGCTCACCGCATACGATCCCGGTGAAGATTACTGTTGCACCAGCTGCCGCGGCGACAGTAGCTTGCGACGTGGGGAGTGACGTCACTAGCCTTTCACTTATAAAAGAAGAACCCGCCTATACCCCGTTTCACCTTACGTCTGTACGCAGCAGATGCTACGAGCTGTCCTAGCCAATCCCGTTCTGTGGACGTGGCCCGTGATACGCTTTCCGCGCGTCGCTGTGCCCCCTCTCTAAGGTCACGTGACACTCACAATGCCTCCGATTGGCTCCGATGGCTCGTAACATCCGCTGCGCTTAAACGTAAGATGAAACGGAGTAGAGCAGGTGATTTCATTGTTGCTGCAGCACCGCGATGAATAGGCCACGCACAGTTAGGACTCCCGAGGAGACGCGTGAATACTATGAGCGGCAAAGGGAAAAGAAACGGCAATACGACCAGCGGCAGCGTGGTGGGACCGGCGGCGGCATTTCGTGTAGTGCAGTAGGCAATCGTTGCAGTTGATACCACAGCTTTGCTGAACAGTCACCTTCACAGCGTGGATTTGGGCCCCATTTGTTTTCCAGTAACGAACGCCGTCTGCGGAGTTTTCTTCGAACTAAAAATTAAGGGCAGCCCAACTTGGTTCCGCCCGTCAGAATACATTGGCATATCGTGCTGTCATATTGATCTTCGTTGCCCTTTATGCCTCTATATGTTAGCGTATATGCAAACAAGAATCGCCGAAAAGGACGAAGTACCCCTAAAGGTAGGTGCTGAATATGTTCGTCGACCGGAACTTTACCTTGCCAAAATGATGACAGCGGGAAGCAAGGCCAAGAGAGGGCGTGTACGCATTCGCAGAAGCTTACTGGAAGAAGGTCTATAGCACTCAGATTTTCTCCTTGGCAACACCCTCACCTTTAAGTATTTATCTTTCCCTATGCTCCCCCCTTGGTCCTATGATATAACACGCATTTCAACCTCACGTGGTATATCGCTACCGTGACATACCACTCGATGCTGAAATTAGTCAGACGCGGCCGGCATCAGCCGTCATTTTTAGCGTCAAGCCAAGGAAACGGGTCAGAGCGTCACGCCGTGCTTCGTCAGCGTTCAGCTGGAGTTCGGCTAAAGTTCGTGTCTACACTGATAGCAGACGAACCGAAGCCGAACACTAACGCAGCCTTCATGTCAAATCTGTGCCCAGCGTTTGCCTCTTTATGTGACTAGAACATTCAGTCCTCCGGCTTTGCCATCTAGGGGGTGTTGGCCACACTCAAACATGGCGTCGTCTGTCGCGAGGGGAAGAGGGAGATAAGGGTCTTTCCCCCATAAAGAAGGAGAACCGGAGTCTGGAGAGGAGGTTCGTTGAAGCTATTCTTCGAAGCAAGACAGCCATGGGTGCCCCTGATGAGGCACCAATGGTTGTCTTGCTTTGGCATCTTGACCATAAAGGGCTGCTCCGTTTCACTCGCAGGCAATTTCACCTGCATCCAAGTGACGTTCACGTTGAAGCGCCGGCTGGGCTACTACATGTTCCACACGTACATCCCGACCTGTCTGATCGTCATCATGTCCTGGATCTCCTTCTGGATCAAGCCCGAGGCCGTGCCTGCCCGTGTCACACTGTGTGTAACCAGCCTACTCACGCTGTCCACCCAGCACGCCCAGTCGCAGAAGTCCCTGCCCCCGGTGTCCTACATCAAGGCCATCGACATCTTCATGTCCTCCTGCACAGTCTTCGTGTTCGCCTCGCTCATGGAGTACGCGCTCGTCAACATTCTTATGGGAGAGACCGACGAAAGTCTCGTGTACCGTAAAGTCACCGGGGCGGTCGCGCTCTCTGCCAAGGTTACGGTGAGTTAAGGTCACTCGACTTCACCCTTTTCTGTGCGACGCAATCGCCACGTGGTGCTTAAGAAACAATGCAGAGAGAGAAAGAGAGAATAAACGTTCTTTATTGTGCTAAGTCCGGCATTCTATAAAATCTCCTCTCCGAGTAGGTCCTCAACGTGTTGGGTTAAAAGTGGACATAGGATTGGTTGGTGAGCCCCAGAGACCGAGGTAACGTAAACTGGAGGGACAGGAACGAATAAGGTGGATCTGGAAGGCTGTGTAGCGGGACATGCCCATAACGAGTGTTAGAGTAGCCCAAGCAGTGTGGCAAACTACTGACTGCGGCCCTCGCCGCAGATAATGGTTTGCCAAGTCCGCCACGCACGCGGCGATATTGGACGCCTCCGTCAAATTAGAAAAAAACTACTACGGTAAAAGTATCCTTGTTGTTTTTCTGTTGTGTTTTTTTTTTTTTTTATTGCCCTTTAAACAACAAGCTTTTTTTTTTTTTTTTTTGCTTCTGGTTTAGGAGACGAGGCGGCTGTCCAACGGAGCCCCGACGCAGAAGATTGAGACGACTCCGGCCACGTCTGGAGGTCTGCCCCGTCGCCGTGACCGCGCCCTGCTTGTCGACAAGATCTCCAGGGTCGTGTTCCCGCTCTCTTTCGTCATCCTTAACACCGTCTACTGGTCAGTGTACCTCGACTATCACTGAACTTCGCCAACCGAGGACTCGCCCAGTTGCGCTTCGAGACACGTCGGAGACCGCGTGTGGCGTGGGACGAACTTGGAGACTCTGTGGCTCGTCGACGAGGTGGCTACGTGCGCGCGCGCTTGAGGCACCGTACGTCCGAATCACGCGGACCTTGGCTTGGGGGCATGGTTACCCTGAGACAAGGATATCGTAGTGATAAGATGAACCTGCTGGTTTACAAACCCACAAATAACTTAAAATATCTGGAGCCCTACAACTGATCTACTAGACCTGGTGGTCTGCCATCCTACCAAGCTGGTAGGATGATCCGGTTATCTACAGGTCTACCGAAACGTACTGTACATACGTACGATAAGCCTAAAGGGTCCTGCTGTTATGTATGATAGAAGCAAGTGGTTTCGTGGAGATAAATTATTATCGCTATAACTGAGCGATCTTCGTTATGTTAGCACAAAATCAGAAATAAATAGCAGAAATTAGCAAACTATTTTCAACATTACACGTATAATACATGACATATAAACAAGTATGTTGTGAGCCATTGTATGCTCAAGCCCGTTGACCTCAGACCTCACCGTCTTTGAGGTGCAGGAACACAAATATATTACTGAAATAAACTCATGAAAAGGTGACATCCAAGCATTCCAGTATAAGAACGCGTTAAGGTCGTGAACCCGACAAACAGACAAGGTGCCGACACTGGAGTCAAAGACTTTGCCAGAGCATCCTCCAGGCGAATATAACAGCGACCGGCACGAGTTGCAACTGCAGTTAATAGAATTTTACCTAGTCATTGTTGTGTAAGACCCGTTTCAAGGCAAATTTCTCTGCGGAGGGCATCGCTGTCCACGACATATGCCACAGGGTTTTTATTCAGTTCTGGATGACCGCAACCTGCGCCCACGACTTGTGCGTAGAGGCTGGTCCAAACATTTGCGTCTGACTGCGACCGACTGCGCTGCGACTGCTTGTGACCATTCACAAGGAGAGAAATACTGGTGCCATCTGTCGAGCAGCCCTAGCACACTGTCCATCTACGCATATTTTACGTATCATTCCATCACCAAAGGCTTGAGAGAGCTTCGACGATGTTAGTATAACTAACAATCAAGAATTTATCAGAGACAATGCGTAGATCTGACACCGTATGTAAAACCTGCAGTCAAGTGTTATGCACATCGAAATTATTCCAGGGCTGCCTGTTAGGTGGCGCCAGTGTGCTCACCGTGTTAAGGGCCTTACTCCGTGTCCTCTAGCCGTAAGCGCGCTTACTGGCGGTTGTAATGAAACTGGCGGTTACATTGAAACGCCCATGTGTGAACCAGCCTGGATTGTTACATTTTTCTTTCTAAAAACACGTGTTGTCCCTAAACGCTGCAGTGCGTGCAATCTGTTGTTGTCAACCGACCCTGTGGTTTGGAATGATGCTGCGAGCTACCGTTGGGACCTGATGTGTCGAGCAACTTCAGGCAGCAAAGGCAAGGTGACCATGGTACCAGGATGCAATAGTCGCACTTTAGGATGTTCTCGTCTTTCAGAACTACTCACCCCGTTAAATCCTCCTGCCTCCTTCCCATCTTACGTCCCAATTGCAGCAAACGGCAGACACGTTACAGTGTGCGGGCACTTCGATGATGCTATAAACTTTATTAGGTACTGTTTTCATCATACTTTAGTATTCTCTACAATGTCTAGACTCAAATTTAAGTGACATTCAGAGTCTACGTGATATATTACGCTTTCAAATGACTAGAATGTAACTTCATGCACATGGTTTTATACGCAAGTTAAGTTGAAACAGATATCTATCTGATTCAGTCAGGTCTATCTCCTAGAAAGCTTCTATTAAATTTAAAGATTGCCTTGCATGTGCTACCTTATTTTATTCATTGTAATTTAAGTGTGCATTGTCATTTCCATTTTATCGTGTTAGCGCAATGAAGTTGCCACCTAGGACTAGCATACATTTATTCATTTCATTCATTGTAATTTAAGTGTGCATTATCATTTTCAGTCTGACCTGTTACCGTAACGAAATGACATCTAGGACTAGCGTATCTTTATCAATTTTGAGATCATCTATTGCAAACGAATAAAACCCGAGGGGATCTGAAGTTGAGAATAACAGTACATAAGGTATGATTGAATGCAGAAAGCAATTTGCTTTCAACTGTAAATGGCACACTTGAAGGACGGTGTAATAAAGAAGTATGAAAAGTTTTCGTGAATTACAACGCATGCCTCTGCGTTTAGAATGCTGTCTCATTCTGTATTCTACAGGTAGCCAGCCATAGGAAACCTCAGCGAATTGGTTATTGCCACCCAATTATCGAGCGTGAGTAGCATGAGCGTTGCATTAGTAGTCCATCGGATGCTATATACCAACTCATCATTGATAAACAAGCTTCTGGTCACACGAAAATGGTGGGCACTGCTTGCATGCAAAAGGCTATTTGTGTTTCATCATGGGCGTGAACAAAACTTAGCTTACAAACGCGAGGATACTGCCTTGAACTACTTTTGCACTGCAAAAATGCACGTGCTCCGCAAACCCGTTCAAAACGTGGAGCTCACCCTTGTAACTCCCACTATGTTAAAACAAGTTCAAAAGTAATGTGAAACAGGCATGTGCCCATGACCACAGTTTGTGTGTGAGACTAAAGTCCCTTGATGTGTTTGTGTTCATTTTACAAGTAGTGTCAAATGTGCCAATGCACATGGCCCATGTGCAGCCCTCTACTCCATTTCATACTTAATATACAACACTGTCAACGCCGCTGGCGCGATCATGAGGCTTGATCTCGTTGATCATTTGCACGCGTTCTCCCGCAAACGAAACCATCGATGAAGCCAGGCGCTCGCGTGGCTTCATCGGCGCAGCTTTCGTTTCTGGAACGTGTCTTGCGCGTTCGTACAGCGATTGACGGTACTGGGAAGAAACGCAAAGCGACAAATTTATCAAGGGGGTTTACGTGAAACTAAAGCTGGGAGAGGCAGAAGAAAAAGCTCTGTAGTATGCAGTTCAACAAAAAAAAAAAACGCTTTTTTTCTAGTTCTATAAAAATGTCTTTAACTGAAAGCATTTCATATTCAGTAATATTGGAAAAGTACCCTATACACACGTTTTCAGACGTCTTAACGACAATTCTATCTTTATGGAGTCTTAGCGGCTTTTGGGGGGATTTTTTTTTCTTTAGTTAGGGAAGTGTTCGTTGCTAAAGCTGCGTAGACGGGTAGTCGCCAAGGCCCATAAATGCATAATCCTCTTCTTAAAAAAAAAAAGAGGAAAATAGGTTAGTGGGGTAGCTCTTCAACGGCTTCCAGTAAACAGCTTTCAAGTTTCAACTACATTGTTTCTCTAGAGTGGAGAGGGGGAGGGAGACAAAAACCAGACAGTTGTCGCTGTTGAGGGTGATGTCAGGTAACGTTGGTTGACGCAAAAATGAAGACATTCTCAAACTCCAAACGACTTAGAACAAATTCCTTATTCGTGGATTATATTTCTCTAGTAGGTTTTGGGAAAATCCTTTGTGACCACCGCGAAAAAAAAAAAAAAACTGTGCGTTTTGAAGCAAGCAGTTTTGCTCGATAAGGATGATGTGGATTTGTTCCAGGGGTGTTGGTAAGGCATGATGATTAAAACGTACAGCATAAATAGACATGATAACAGAGAAAGGACACACAATCTTTTGTGTGTCCTCTCTCTTCTGTTTCATCTGTTTGCGCTGTACGTTTTAATCGTGACGGAGAGGTATACAAAAGGAGTATGACGTCAATGATGTTTTGTTCCGGTGTTTTGTTTCTGGACCAGGATCTTCTCGCCAACGTCTTGAGTTACTCAAAGTTAAAGTTGCGATGCAACAATATTAGAAAGAATTTGCAGTTTTCAATTTTTACATTGTTTATCTTGCTAAAAAGAAAAAAAAAACCACCTCATTCTCTTTAGAAAAGAACGGAAATATTTCGCGACTCGCAGCCGCGTGGTGGCGGAAACGGGAACTAAGGCATGACGCGCAATGTGTATAATATAATAGGTTGGCGAAATGTGCTATTAAGTGCTCAAGCTAGTGCCATGTTTGATAAATATCGTCGTTTCAACATGAGTAAATAAGTCGAAAACCCCATGCCATCGACAAAGTTGTACTATATTCAGTTTTAGTGGCGCCATCTGCCCGAGGTGAAAGAAACTATTCCTCCCTTGCGCCTCACCCATCTCATTTCGTTGTGCTACTACATCAGTCGAACTTCCTTACAAAAAGACAAGCTCTTTGCTCTCTCTTTCTCTCTCCCCCTACCCCCACCCCCTCTCCCCGCCACGTGAATCGTAAGCAGAGGCCGCGCACGCTGAAGGCTCTAAAAGAGATCCCAACCAAATACCCTTTATCCAACACCACCTAGAAATAAGGCCGTAGCGCTCTTCTTGTGACGTCGCAAAGGAAGATGCTCACGTCACTCAGAAGAGCGTGCAGGAAATTAATTCGCTGTTAGATTATACAATATTTTGAGCACTCACCTCCGATTTCTACCGGTGGCGTGTTCAGTGCAGCTGTTCTCAGCATCACTGCACTGGCGGATGCCATAATGCAGGGCAAGAAACATTCCCAGTGAGTTGATAAACGCCAACCGCGGCACACAAGAACACAAGACACGGATACCCAGCACCTTAGAGCTCCCAACGTAGGAGCGGCGCCCCAAATAGCACTTTCGCCGATGTTTCAACCACTCAACATGGCCGCAGAACCTGACGCTTGCTAGACGGCGCTACAGCATTCAAAATGGTGCTGCCCACGATATAGTAAGTAGTATGTTTATATTTTATAAAATTATGTCTAAAAGCAGCTATGCCCGTTTTCACGAAAACAGGACATGAGACTTCCTGGAGGAAAAATGACAGGACGGCAGAAATGAACCTCGACCAAAATGATGGGAATGCCCAGGCCAAAATGGGGTGTCTCATCCCCCAACACTTAATAAAATTCACTTTCATTTTGCTTTTATGCGAAAAAGGTTTATTGTATGCACAAGGTCAGAGTTGCGAATAATCTGTATTTACAAGAGGGTCTGTAAGGTTTCAAATGTGCAGCTGTGTAGCAGTCAGTTCTTCTTGGCACATGGCCTCATGCGTTAGAATCTCTTCCCGTCGGCCTTCAGTAGAAGAGCGGGTTGTGCGTGATCCAGTGGGCCTTGGGCTGGTTCACGGCTGTTGAATGCGTCGTGAAGAGGGACTTGAAGGCCTCGCTGGTCTTGGGGTCCTTCGCAATGCTGTACCCTTGCCTTGCCTTTTCTGGCAGAATCATCTTAGTGGCCGTTCCGACGTCAGGCTTCTTGGCTGCCGTGCCACTGGTGCTTGGGCCGCCTGCAATAAAGTCACGATCAGTAAAGACGAGAAACGACAGCCAGTCTTGTTAAAGGGCAACTCCGGTCCATACTTTTGATTTTGGGATTATGACTGTTTTTAGCACACTCAGCGTCCCTGAATCGCAAGGTGTAATTTTCTTCTTGTTATTGTGAGTAGATTTAAAGATATTGACGCCTCAAAGTTTTGTTTGGGGCGCGGCCAACGAAACCGAAACTAGCCGCTCGAGGCCCCGGCAACACTGGAAATCGGCCGCTATGTGAACGTGACGTCAGGATCGTTCTCGTTCAACGAGTATGCAAGCCGAGCGGCGCCTACCTCTGTTGCGCTAGCCATCTAAAGATAGGAGGTAAGCTAGCTGATTTTGTTTCATTTCTGTATGCGTGATAGTTATCCAGCATATGTAACAAGAGTTAGTGCGTATACCCAAAAGCTAGCAACTGGGAAACCGGTGAACTCGTTCGGTGACGTACTCGGCGGCCGCCACCGTGCGTGCGCTATGCCGTGCTCGTCGCTTGTATACCCAAAAGCTAGCGCCTGGAAAGCGAGTGAACTCGTTCGGTGCCATACTCGGCAGCTGTCGCCGTACTTGCGGTCTTCCGTACTCGTCGCTAGGCCTAAATTGCCATCGGGGCTCCGTGGATGGAGCGGCGTTGCTCTACGCCGCACTGCCAGTGACGTACAGTATACTGGGGGCCTTCTCGCTTTCGCGCTGCAGGTCAGTCCCAGACACGAAGCTTTGAGGCTCTCCGGCGTGGGCCGCGGCGCCCGAAGACACCTGTGCTAAGCTGTACACGTCTTTTTTTTTTGTTATGTTTATTTCTGGCGCGTAAAAGCTGAAGTCCAAAGTCCACTCGTCGAACAGCGTTCACCCACACCTTCTCCAATTTCCGGTCCGTTGAAAACTTGTGAAAAAGCACCTCCGCGTTGTGCAGCGGGTTGTTTGAGCAGCCCACAGCGCTACAAGTTGTACTCGGCATCTTTCGAGGAACAGCTGGGCAGTCTTGGGTGCATTGAGTTGCTCGCTAAAACGAGTCTTGGAGTCCTCACAAGCAAATAAACAAAAGGCTATACCGAAGATACACCGGCTACAGATAAAAGCAACGGCTAAACACGCCAATTACAAGCCGAGGTATAGGCGGTAGCAGCTCAAAGAAGTGCACTCCGCGCAACGCCCGGACCGGAGGAAAAAAAGAGAATGATACTGACGTCACGGCCCAATGTTGCTTTAGCGATCGGCAACCCGCTGGCCGCCCGCTAAGGAGCAACGGCTCGCGGCGGGTCGTATTTTTATTATCGGCATCAGTTGAGAATGTGGCGTCCCCCAGACGTAATTTTTTGGCTGGGGTCGTATTTTGTGTCACTACAGCGCGATACCAGTAATTTATTTCATTTTGAGTTTTGGCCGGAGTTGCCCTTTAATGATACCAGAAAAACGGCAACTAGCAACAATTCCCAATTTATTTACTTATTTATTTCAATGTCTCAGGGCTCAGGGGCATTACAGAGGGGGTGGACATACAATATTGGTTCAGTAAAAAATTCAAACACACGAGGCAACTTGGTTATAAAAGTTAATCCGGCACAATTTTAGCAGAAATGAGTAGTTATAATGCTTTTCTAAATAAAACAATTGATGGAATAATTACTAATGATGCGAAAAGGTGGTTCCATTCCAATGGCGTTCAGGGAATGAAAGAGTCGATGCAAGTTGAAGTTTCACAACGAGGTATGCCAACTTTAAAACTGTGATCGATGTGGGGAGAAAATAAGAGGGGCTAATGAGTGGTTTGTCTTTCAGAGAAGCGTTGGAATATTAAATTTTATGAAAGAGGCATAAATGAAATAATTTTTGGCGTGAGGATAGAAGAGGCAGAGATAGGGTGATTTTCATAGACGAAACACTTGCGGTGCGATGATAGTTACAGACTATGAAACATGCGGCGTGATTTTGCAGTGCTTCAATATTTGTTATAATCGTTGAGTGACCAGGGTCTCAGACTACTGCAACATATTCCAGCTTTGAATGTATTAAAATCTTGTACAGAAGAAGTTTTAGTGACATAGTGGTTAGTTTCTTTTAAAACATCCAAGCACTGCATTAGCATTACTGATTATATGATCAGAATGAAATTTTCATGACAGGTTAGAAGTGATGTGAACACCAAGATACTTCAATGAGGTTACAGATGTGAGCCGAGTTTGACAAATTGAGTATGGTGATGGTGACGTTTTACGGTGAGACACCCTTATAGTTTTACATTTGTTAGTATTGAGAGTCATTTGCCATATGTTACACCATTCCAAAGCCACGCATAAGTCAGCCTAACGAAGAGTACCATCCAATTTGCTAGTAATTTCATGATATATTACACAGTCATCTGCAAATAAGCTAATATGGGATGATACACATAATGGTAAGTCATTAATATAAATACGAAACAGAAGTGGTCCTAAAATGAACCCCTGAGGAATACCGGAGGTAACAGGGCTGAGGCAAGAATTTTCATGATATGCAGTAACAAACTGTGATCAATTACAGTTACAGGTTAAGAAGGTAGCGGCGAATGCCCCTCAAAGGGAATCATATATCCCTCCACCACCTCCGCATCCACTAGCGTCCCATCGTTTCCGTGACGTCGCGGCCAACGCGCGAGGAGGGTCTCGCCTTTCTGTACATATTTGCTTTGTCTTTCGACTTTGACTTAGCATTGTGGAAGCCACGAGAGGGAGATTAGAGTTTTCCCCCTGCGATGGAAACAAATACGACTTTCGGGGATTAGCTTCCCCCTCCTATAAATACAAAGGCTGCTTTCAAGGGCTCGGTTCCCCCTCCAATGAATACGAAGATTGCTTTCTTAAAAAGTGGGGGTCGAAGACAAGTTGGCACCACTCTGTGGCCATTATCGATCCACTGAAGCGGAACAAAGACCGTTTCCAGTAAACACTTTTTTCTACTGCGGAGGGTATTGAAACGGGGGTATCACGCTTGTGGGAGGAGCTTCTCCTACCTTCTTGACTTGTAACCAGTCTTGGGTAGTAACGCGTTACTAGTAACGCATTACTGTAACTTTGTTACTTTTTTGGTAACTTGTAACTGTAACGAGTAACTTTTTAAAAATGTAACTTGTAACTGTAGTTCTATTACTTTTTTTTGAGGCAACTAAGAAAGTAACGACGTTACTTTTGTCATTACTTTCCAGTGTTTTATGAATAATATATCACTGAACGAGTGCAATTTAGCCATTCCTTGCACTTTTCAAATCATCTATTCCGACATTTCGAGTGTCAAGTTGGCCTTGCACTAACTTGTGAATACATTCTTTTTCGCGAGTCACGATCTGAATATAGCCACGTGTAGATTTTATGAAAAAATATCTAGTTACCTTTACGCACGCTCTTGTACTTTGTGTCCTGAAGCACTACCTATGTTGTGGTTTTTCTTTTTTCTGTGCAAACGCTTTTTAATCGGGTGAGTCAACCGTGAAACAACAATGCACGTAAAGGTAACTGCGCATGTCTCGTATTTTGATTAGCGCCACTACTTCGCACTGCGCATGTTTTGTATTTTGATTTGCGCCACTACTGTGGCGTGGAAACTTTCAAACACTAACTTCGAGAAGCAACTGCTGCTAAGTTACAATATGAAGTAAAAATTGTACTTTTTAATTTTATGCAATAAAACATTGTAAGGGGCGTTTTTTAGTTTTTTCAAAATTTTTGTGTGTTATAGAAAAGTAACTGAAAAGTAACGTCGTTACTTTTTAAAAGTAACTGTAACTGTAACGAATTACTTTTTAAAAGTAACTTACCCATGACTGCTTGTAACCGACTATAGTAAGAAATCATTTAATCCAGGACAAAACATTAGAACCAATATTGAGTTTATCAAGCTTAAAAAACAACAGTTTGTGAGATACTTTGTCAAAGGCTTTGCAAAAGTCGAGAAAGACGCAATCAACCTGAGATCCACGGTCAAGGATGGAGAAAAGATCACGAGAGAAGTAAGAAGTTGAGTTTCGCAGGACAGCGATTTTCGAAAGCCATATTGTGAGGGTGAGGAAAAAGAATTTGAATCAAAAAAACTAACTAGAACAGAACAAATCATGTGCTCTAAAACTTTACAGGGCGTGCTGGTTAAGGAAATGGGTCGATAATTAAGAGGGCTATGTTTGTTACCTGATTTATGATGAGGAACTACATCTCTTATTTTCCAATCGTTTGGTAAAATGCCAAGGTCAAGTGATTGTCGAAAAGTTTTTAGGAGAAAAACAAATGTAAATTTTGTACTTTAAAGAAATTCAGAACCTATGTTATCAACACCACACGATAAGGACATTTTAAATCATTGATTAGTATAACAATCCCGTCATAATCAGAAACAAGTGGATCCCCTAGAAAGAAGTTGTAAACAGAATAAGTCGGGCTATCAGATTTTACATTACTATAAAATGCTTTCACAAAAATATCATATAGTAGAGATGCACACTGATTGCTTTGAATATCTAGACCGTTATCTCCTGCCAGTGAGGGAACAGTATTTTTGGGGCACATTTACAAATTGCTTTGTGCTATTAGATAACATGAAAGGTAGGGTTACATTAAAAAAAATTGTTTTGGTCTCTCTCACAGCCGTCTTATAAGTATCCGCAACTTCTTTGTAAGCATCCCAAGGAGCAGCGAGGGCAGATGACTTTGCAGTGCGGAATAAACATTTTTTCTTGTTACAAAGGCGTTTCAGAGCGACATTAAACCAAAGAGATTGGGATTCAGAAACAAGAAACCTACACCGAATGAATGAAGTAATAAGTGTTTCTTTTATTTTTAAACAAGTTCCAATTAGTTTCAACTGGACGCCCTGAAAAAGAAAGCAGAAACTCTTCCAGGAACGCAGCTAATTCTCTATTCATTGCGTCAAAATGTGCCCTTCTATAATCACGGAATCGCTTAGTAGTCCTATTCGAGACACACATGAGTATGCAAGTTGAAGTATAGAATGCAATGATCACTAATTCCTGGTAAAAGGGTTATGGAAGAGGCGAGGCTAGGCTCAGTGGAGAGAACTAAATTTAACACACTAGCTGTAGTATCGGTAATCAGAGTTGGTTTACTAACAAGTGGTGAAAAAAAAAATGAAAACCGAGATCAAGAAATTCTGAGTTCACAGGCGAATTGCAAGTAGCTGTCGGAAAAGCACCAGACCAATCACTAAAAGGTAGGTTGAAGTCACCCAGCATTAACGTCGGCGCAAGATGAAACCTAGAAAAAATTGTATTTTGAAGCATCACGTAACCTGGAGCAGAAGCCTGCAGTCGTAATGGGAGAATGATAGGCGCATACAACATTTCTGTGGGCACAAAGCAAACGCACGTATACCAGTTTTAGTGAGGTAGCAATATCTACATGACAGCATTCAAGGTTATTATTTATTGCAATTAAAACCCTGCCACAACATCTATCACCCCTAACAGAACAATAAAACCTATACCTCTCAGCGCGATAAAATATTTCCTAGTCGTGCGCCAAACTCAAAAGCCATGTTTTAGTTAAAAAAACTTCACTAGATCACGCATCAATGACTGATGATGGTTCGTAGGAATTCTGGATAACACTTCTGATGTTAGTAAAAAGAACTGGCAGGGAACTAGGTTTTTTTATCAATTGTTTTCTTAAAATTCAAAGTTGCAGGTGCACCAGTGATATGTCTTGCTAGCTATGTGGTAGCCTCATAGCTTGACAAGTTTCATAACTAAAACAAAATTGTTTATCACCTACGAACAGCTTGTCACCACAAGGTCTGTAAGGACCTCCCTGGGTATGGGCAAAATTTAAAAGCTTCTTCCTTGCAAGCTCTATGTTTTTCGGGTAATCCTCACCAACAAAAATGTTTGTATCTTTTAGCTTGCTGCATGGCTGCACCACAACTTTTTTGTGTTTAAAGAGGGCAAACTTCACAATAATAGGTCTTTTCTTATCTGGGTTGAACTTGCCAATCCGATGAGCCCTGTCTATTGTACCGGAGTTAATCTGTGTGCCAAGTGTGGCGTTGCACACGTCTAAAACAAGTTTCTCCGATTCAGCCCATGTTTCCTTGACTGCATCTTCTAGCCCGAAAAAAAGTAGGCTGGATCTACGGGAACGGCTTTCCGCATCATCACGGAACGACGCTGAAGGAGTGCCATTTCCGAGAGAATGTATTCTACCCTTGCCTCAATTTCTTTCGTTGCACACATTTTCGATTTACCAATGGCAAGGTCACCTTCGATAACCCCGACACGCATAGTTAAAGTGGATATTGTATCATTTCTATGCTTCTGGTCATCTTTTATTTATTTTAGTTCAGCTAAACACTTGCCTAGCCAACATGTAACTGGGTAACAATTTCCTCCATCTATGATGACGACTCTGCCTCCTGCTCAGACATGGAGCCAGAGTTACTTTCCACGTTCACTACTGAGAAGCAACAGCAAGTCTAGAAAACGCCTCAAACACTACCGCGGGCCGAACCGGATCTCCCTTCTCTCCCACGGAATGAGTCCGAGGAGGTCGGTAAAGTCTGAGGAGCAGACGAGTCACTTTTTCGCCTCTGCTGGCACTGCCTGGCCAGACCTTGCGCACCTCTACCGGATAGGTCGTAACGCATCGACGCCGCAGAGTGGCAATGCTCTTAACTACGCCGGCCTCTCCGTAGCCTTGCCCATACTGGGAAAGCAGTGTCCCATGGCATGTCATGCTCTCCGATAGCTGCTCTTCAAGCGCCATTAGAATCGGCTGTTTGGAACGAAAAAGAAGGCCATCCATTCAAAATAAAAACATGCAATTGTCATTAGCACGTATGGCCAATCCCGTTTAACACATTACTGAACGTAAGAAGTATATTTAAATTTTCATTCCAGTCTACCTTTAAAGCATAAATAGATGCACATAAATTATGCCCAGTTTGATACACATGAAACACTTACTGCTTGTTTTATGACGCATGTGCCACCGATCAAAGAACATTTAATCGGCTCGTGTACCTTTGTAAACCATGTCAACATGAGCACGCTACCTTCTTTCACGTCGCTCTAAATCCCCCTAAAAAGGATTACAAATGCTCGAGCACAAAAAGATTGACTTCTCAAAGCAACGATTAGCATTAGAGCTGCTGCAAGACGCTGGCGGTGTACACCCCAAACAGACGCCGCATGCATGTTCACCTTCGTGTTGGTGTAAGAGTCTGTGGCAGACTCTTGAACCAACAGTAGGTCCCTGTGTAATAGCCACGGACAAAATGAACTAAAATGCACTGACACACTCGCCCCGCTCGTTCATAGCAGCCCCTGGTGGTCACAAGAGAAACCATAGCTTGTCCAAGAGGCCTGTTACATGCTCTCCTCAATAGTCCCCCGTTCGAGATCTCGCATCAGCAACAAAGTGCACTATTGCTGCATTTCAGAGATCTCTTTCTGCACGACCCTACGACGACGAGCCAAGAAGACACCCACCGTTGGCCATCTTGCTGGACACCTTCTTGACCGCCTCGGCAGTGTCTGTCTTCGCCTTCTTGCCTACGTCGTCGGTTGCCTCGCAGGCCCGTTTCTTCAACTTCTGCGGGACAGACATCGGCGTTTATTTTATAAAATGCAGTTTCTTGTGGAGAAAAAATAAACAAAAACAGAACACGAACAAAGCACACGGTTACTCGAAGTCAACAAAAGCATTCGATCAAGCTTGCTGGCAGTGAATTAGACGAAATGCTGCGGCAGGACAGTAGGTCCTTAGAAGTGCCAGAGAAATGATAAAAGAAACAAGCCAACAACCAACAGCCACTAGCAGTGCTAATATGTCAATGCAGTTGCAAAGGGGTTATCTCAAGAGGTATGGTAAAACCATCCAGTTCTTCGAGGCCACCAGGTTCTGTTTCATGGACACTTAAAGGCCGACCTACAAAATCCTCTTCCGCCAAGAAAAAAACAAGTTCCCAGTTTTTTTTTTTTTTTTTTTTTCCATTCCCATCTACGCAGAAGTGGGTCTCTGAGCTGCTCCCCACAGAAAAGGGGAGGGCTTCTTTCTTTCTCAAATGGAAAGAAGGAAGTTGAGGAGAGTTTCCTCCTTTGTGACTGTTTGTCGGCTGCTGAACCGAAATTTGGATTTCAGAAAACAATGCAGGAGCGGTAAGCAGGACGCTACAATCCCTAAAACACCACTTGCAAGGCGATATTTCGAATGGACGGCCGTATTTTTGGAAAAAGAGGTAGAGAATGAACGCAGCCAACGAGGCGCATGACATAAACATATCTCGTTTCCTCCTCTCTTCGCTTCGCCCCCTCAAGGCGGCGAGGCAAAGAAGATGCGAGACCGTTTCCTCTCCTTCTCGGAGAAATAAGATGTCACCATACCTGTCAAATGCGCCTCCTTCTTTTTATAAAAAAAGAGTCATCGGTTCGAGATATCGCTGCATGAGAGATGTTTTGGTGTTCGTAGCATCCCGTTGCATGCTTCTACCGCCTTGTTTTGTGGAATCCAGATTTTGGTTCAGCATCCCTTTAAGACCCTTTTTACTTAAGTTAAGTAGAGCCACCAAAAGAGCTGTGCTTAAGAGAAAAGGCCTCCAAACCCCGAACCGCGGTCCTCGACCCAGCCCATGGCTGGCCACGGTTCCTCCAATGAAGCCCCGCCCACTTCCAGCAGGCCCGCCCAGCGCAAAAATAAGTGCGCGAAAAGGAACAGCACCACAACACACACCAACCGCGTAAACGAAAAGGAAAACTGCCTATCATAAGGTGTGCTCGCTGTTCATATTATTTATTGAACATCTTCATCACCAACATCACCATATGAGGACTTCAGTCATTCTGAAGCAGGAAATAATAATGAAGAAAATATTATTATTATTAATATTATTATTATTATTATTAGTCCCCTGTTTCATATCTGTATAACTATGCATGTTAAAATTCCTCTGCGTTCCCACATATACATTGTGCTTAGTGTCCTGCGTCGTATCAATTGCATACTGTCAGCATCCCAGTTCTATCATTCTCATTAGACTTCTAACCCGTCGGAACAGGCCAAAGTTTCCATGCACTTTGATTTATGCCTCGTGACGTTCTTGGACCCAATTATCAAAGCGCAGCTCTTGGGCGCCCGTTTCCGGCTTGAGCAGCGTCGCTGTCAGCGTAATTGCGCATTGCATTATGAGACGTGTCCCATAATGACATCACACGTGACATCACTAGGGTCACTAGGGTTACGAGTAACATCACTCGCAACCGCGCATTGCATTATGGGACGTTTCCCATAATGACATCGCGAGGGTCACGACTGGCATCACGAGAAAGGGGGGGAAGGAGGGAGGGAGGAGGGGCATACCCTCCTCTCTGTACTCTCCCCTCCACCTCCTCAAAAGCTGCGCTCTAAGTCAGCATTACAGGGAGTTGTAAACGTCTTTCATTTTTGTGCAACGTCATAACTAGCTAAATAGTGGATTTATTAGTAAAGTAGATATATTCATCAACCTTATATTTTTCGTTTTTAATGTTTACTCTAACTTTCAATGTTGTATTTAAATGCTTATCTATAGGTTAATTTATTCCGTTCTTCCTCATTTATATTTACTTTTTTTTTATTTTCTGGCCCTCGAGACAGCGATATATCCCAGATCCAGCCCCTCAGAACAACATTTGGAGAGCCCTGCTTTAGAGGGTCAACACTTCAGCTGTTGGATGGATGGATGCTGATGGCTCTACTCTTCATAACAGGCGGTAGCTTGCGCCATCTAGCCAAGAAACCAAAAGTGTGATTTTTTTCCTCGCTGCCCAATTTTCTTCCCCTCTGTCTTTCTGTAACTATTACCATGCAGTGTAAGATAGTTGTCGCCAGTTTTTGTCGACGTGCCTGACAAAAAATGCAAACGGTGCTTTCCGTCGTCCCGCTTGCCAAAACAGCTCACAGCAAAGCAAAACACTACCGCGATCATTCCCAAACATTGTACCTACCGCTCAAAAGGTTGCATTGCTGAACTATAACCGTAGCAAACAGCGCCCGTGCAATTCTAAGTGCCAAGGAGGCGGCACCCACCAGCTGATGGCATGTAAACAAATGTCATACGACTCAAATCTACGAATGACCGTCTTGGCGAAGTCGGACAATGAGTAAAAAGAGTGCCGATGCTCTGAGCCTAATTTCCTATACACGTTTGCGAGTACGGTCCCTGGACACCACCACATTGCTCGCTTGGCGTGCGCTTGGGCGCGGCCATAATCCGATTACGACACCCTGCTGCAGTGGCTTAAAGGGATAGTGTAGCAACCGCGTAGCCTCCGCCGTGCATTGCGAGCAGCTGGCATTTGGAAGACAGTGACGTCACCATGTAGGAGGCGCTCCACTCCTTAACACCACGACGTGCCCGGCCAGCATGCAGGCAAGCAGTGCCAGAAGCACGTTGTTGGGTGCTTTCGAACGCGATAACAACACTTCAGATTTCTGAAATCTACATCAATAAATATTATAATTAAAGTCCAATGAACGGACGATGATGGGGCTTGTATTGGTGGGGAATAAATATCTGAACACCACCGCAAAATACAAAATTCTAAAAGTGTGCCCCGAGAGAGTCGTGAGAGTTGGTTTTTCACGTAGTGCAGTTGTTCGTCAAAAAAGATTACCGTAATATCCCGAGTCATCGCCCACCCCCCAACCGCCTGAAATTCGTTAAAAAAGTGGGGTGGGCCATGCCTCGGTGGGTGAGCACAAACACTTAAAAAAAAACGGAAAAAACCGCCTATTTTTCTCTGCGTATCTAGCGCTGATGCACAAGAGACACATCAAACTCAGAACTCGATTTAGTTTCATTGTTTTATAGAAAAAAAAATGCTCACGAAAGAATATTTTACTATAGCGAAGTCCGTTGCTTGCATACGCGCTAGAAACACCGCCGATCTGCATATAGCACGAACGTTTGTTCCGTGAAAGAATGTCACCATTATGTTCTCCTAGTTAGTAAAAAAAAGAAGAAAAGTCTACAAGAAAATAGAAAAACCGACCAGGCGCAACGAGCGAGCGAGCGGACCAAAGAAGCGACCAAGAGCAATGCTGGGAAAGCCGGCGGTTGCGTTGGCAAATACTTTGGCGTCGGGCCAAGTCGGGCAAGCTCTTGCGCAACTTTCTTGTTTGGTGCGTACATACGTGTGTCTGTGCACGGCGGGCTATCAATGCACGGGCTATCAATGCACGGTTGGGACCCTCTGCAAACGTCTGTGTAGGACGTTCCAGCAAAGCTTTATTTACGCTTTGGCTTTGCCTAAAATATTGCACAACAGCGGTCGCGACGGGCGGGAAGAAGGAGCGGGTTCGCGGTGACCTTACTTCGGCGGAGACAGACTGACCTAACACTCCGGGGTAACGTTAACAAACTCCTATTTTGTTATCTCCATCGTTTTCTTTTCGCACGGATACACGACCACTTTGGGGTCGCTCACGGAGAAAATGCGTAAACAAAAAGAAGTGTCTTTCCCTCCTTCGTTTTACTTTGTCACGGACGTCCTCCAACTGTAAGGTCCGCGGCCGCGTCATTCGGGTAGGATGAGTGTTCGCGGATCGCAGAGTCCGCGCTGGGGTATTTGAAGGGGTGGGCGATGACTCGGTGTTTTTTCGGAAATCGATATTGGCCCAAAAAATGGGGTGGGCGATGGCTCGGGGATGGGCGATGACTCGGGATATTACGGTATAATCTTTTTTGTTCACTCTTCTGACTTACCTACTTCTACAAGACGTGCCTGCACTCCCAAACTGTAGTTCATCCACAGGTTATGTATTTTAACAAAATTATTAAAGTATGGCGGAAACCCACATTGTGCAATTTCTTTTCGGAAGTATTTGCCAAAATGTTTTCATTGTCAAACCACTATATAATATAAAGGCTACCTAGCAATTGTTTTCGGTTTCGATTTCGGTTATCAACAAATCAAAATAAAAGTTTTGTTCAGGTCACGGCTACTAAGCAAAATATGGTATTTAACGGTTTTCGCTCGAGCTATATGAAGCTTTGCTGTGTTTCAACTAACTCCATTCCTTGCATAAATTATTGGTTTTATTTTTTTTTTAATCAAAACTACTAAGTATGTGTCTTTCACTTCATTGAACCACTTTATTTTACCTAAATACTTTGTTAACTTTACCTTCGTTAAAACAGCAATTAAGCCTCCATACATGCTCCACAATATGTACTGTAATTTTATTATTTTATTTTGCTCATTTCATCTGGTGATGCATCTGTGCATATCTTTAGTTTGTTTTAACATCTTGTCACAGTAATCAGCCACAATTATGCAAACCTTTTTAACATTTTATGACCTTAATAAGTAAAATTCACACATTAAATAAGAAATGTGCAATTTCTGAAATTTTACAATTTTTCCATCGCATTTTCTTTGTCGCGGTATGGTGCAAGAGACAACAGAGGCTGTGTGCAGAGCCAGTTGACAAACCAATAACATTATTACACTATAATCACTGTTCAATTGTGTAATATAAAAACCCTATAAAAAGAAAACAGGTGGTGCAGTACAGAACGAGGTTATACAAGTGGTACCCCTACATTTATTACAAGAACCAATTAACAATGAAAATCTAACTCACATCTGTTGACACGCCCAAAGAATAAACATGCGAAACCATCAGTCACGCGTCTATCAAGGGACTCAAGCCGTCGTCTCATCTGTTCTACCGTCTGCATGCTTAAAGTGCTTAGGTAGCACCAATATCAGATTGAAACATGCGTTAAAACCCTGGATCCCTGGGTCCTGCGGCGCGAGCTTTCGCTATACGTATTTCAAGCTGTGGTGAGCCACCGACACCCAACTAAGGCCAGCGGGGACTGAAGGCAATCCAAATGAAATTTGACTTTGCACCGGAGCATGTGCGTGCTCCTATTTCGGTATATCACGCCCTTGCTATGATTTTTCAGCACCAGAAGAGTTTACTCATCGATGACCTCAAAACTGCAGCACTGATGAAAATCACGGAATTTCTTAAATCAACGCCGCATATCCGCGTCGGTCGCAAGAAAAATCAAATTCGACAAGATCGACTGCAGTGTAATTCACCTTGCAAGTTTGTCCGAGTGCTGCAGTCAAAGCATTGGCTCGTGTTTAGAGATGGATGATACACAAGGAAAGAGACGCAGATATGCCCGCATGCCCGGCAGTCACGGTTCAGCTCCCCCCAACTGCAATCCTTGTACAAAGAGATGAACTAACGTGCGTCTGTCACACCAAAACCCAAACTGAAAACAACACCAAAAAAGACTGGAACTCTGCCCTCCTAGCTTTCCCTCTATTGCTACAGAATGTTGACCCTGGTGCCCCTAAAATTACCTTGTCAATCTTGGCCCTGGCTCTTCGAATCTCCATCTGTGCCGTCAGCACCGCCACTTCGTCGTCCGTTCCGTTCAGCACGACAATGTCGTCGTCGCGGAAAGGCTTGGCGCACTGCCCAAAAACAGAGGAAGAAATGGGTTGACCTTTATTTTAAAAAGTTGTGCACGAAGTGGTGGGATGCTTTATGAAAAGATTGCTACGGTCTGTTGCAGGTTTAGAAGCCCTCCAATCTTTCTACTTTAGCAGAGCAAGTGCTGGAGAGGCGAGTGGAGAGGACGCCACCAATTGTGGCAAGCAGAGGGCTTTGAGGTAGGGGTTTGTCCCACTATTCTAGACCCGGAACAGACTATAATCTTGTTCCCAATAGGTGTCCACAATAAAAAAAAAGCTATTCCCACACATGCATCAAGGTAGTCATTTAAAATGTTCCACACTTGATTCCGAGGACGGCATTTTTTAAACAGGTTTTCTGTCTTTGAAAAATGAAGGAATGACCAAGAAGACTTTACTCAGCTGGCACATTCTTTACATTCCTGTACGTTTAGCGTCAATGGCCAAGTAAGAAGTCAGAAATACGAACAGGATTGTTGAACGACGGCTTACAGTATATTCCGAAGCTTACTTTTAAGGATGGTGAAGTGGATTTTATTTTATTTTCTTTAACCAGACAGAGTAGTGCCATCCGGTTACTCACATAAGGGTTCACAAAACTCTAAATACATTTAAATAAATAAATAAAAAAATATCAGAACAATACCAAACACCAAAACACCATACTAATCGCTTCTTTTAAGACTTTCTTCTCCATTTCTGCTACTTGAGTGGAAAACAAAATTGAGAGAATTATTAGTTTTTAAATGCACTGCTATCTGAACTTAGCAAGATGTTCTATAGCCGGTAACAGGTCAAGAACGAAGTGGAAGCTCCTCCCACCCCTTTCCACTTCAGCGAAGCAAATGTGGAGAGGAGGTCGCCTCCTTTCCAGCGTTCACAGACTATAGTTCAGACTTAAAATTACATTGGACAGGGAAGTGGAACACATCAGAAGCTCAATACCATAAAGAGAACTTCAAGATTGGCCAAATTTGTTCCGACTTCAGTTTTGCCTCTTCTTTGCTTCTCTGACGGTGCAGGTAGCACATTTCGAAAGACCGCATCATACTTCATCGTTCACAAATGTATGAAACATGTCAGCAGAGTCATTTGCTGCCAGTCATTCGTCCGGTTCAGCAAAGAAAAAGATGTCACAACCGCACTTCGACGTGAATGCGGCGTGGTACCAGAGCCGTAAATAATTCAGAGACGAAGCCTAGACCTGAGGTCACCCTTTTGAAGCGAGCAAGCCTCACTGTCATATGTGCATAGCTTCAAAGGATGATCATAGAGAAAGTTGCGGGAGGTCGGCAGCCACTCACCTTGTGACACACCTCCGACTTGACCTCTTTGAGCGCTCTGTCCGACAGGACGCACCCACACTGCCTTAGGTAACAGAACCTGCAAGAAAAGACGAAGCAATCTTTAAACGTCGAGAACGCTCATGAGGTGGCGCTAGCTACCTCCCGACACAGAGGGTGTCGCCGCTACCATCTGTTTTCATGGATACAGTGAGCACAGAGATGCTATACAAACATCTCTGTCCATGCATACACAAAGGGACAATGTAGGACGCTAGATGCTTGCTGACCAAGACGAGTTGGAAATGTTCACTCAAAAGAGCTTAAGGTTACTCCTTTCGTGTTTCCTTTGGGATAAGCAACGTAAATGTGCGGCAAAACTCTTCACACATGCATACGTCACAAAAAGGTATTTGCTCTAACAGCGATGCTTTCTGGCTTCTACTCAAAAAACTGAACAAAAAAAAAGGGAGTTTTACGCATCAAACTGACGAAAGGCGCCCAACACGCCCCGGCAGAGAACCAAGGATTAATTTTGACCAACTAGGAATCCTGTGACGTGCAACCGAAAGCTTTAATGCAATTAGCCTCCGTTGGATCACGGGCATCTCGGCCAAGCTTCGAACTTGCCAACTGGGGATCCGTAGGCTTTGCCTCGGAGCCAGTTTTCTCCTACTCACATTAATAAAAAGAACAGCAGAGGTGCTGCCACTGGAGTTGAATCAATGCCCACAGTTAGTATGCGAGAATGATTAAAAAAAATTTAACGAACTGCAACTGGTAGCGAAGAAAAAGGTAAGCAAGGCCTCACTTGTGCTTCCCATTCATCTCCAAGCCAACAATGGGGCAGATGAACCGCGACGCACGCAGGTCCACATATTCGTCACCCTTGTCGGCGTCACGGCGACGGTAGCCAGGGTTCTCGGTGAGATTCAGCTCGACGATGTCCTGCGATTTGTCGAGGTAATTAGGCGTTGGACTGACGCCGACGCAACTAGAGTCAACAAGTACATACAAAGTGCCCAGAAAAAAAGATTTTCAATGGTTTTTTTCCACTGCAAACAAAAAAGCTATGCACTGCCAAATGCTAGCTCTCCATCCAACTGTAGCCCTAGAGGTCTGGACCATATTCCAAAGTTTCAGAGCTCGCCATCGTCTGGTTTGAAAGTTATAAGCAATATTCGGATCTTTTTTATGAGAAAATGGCGACCGACAAAGCCAAGGAATACGTGAAGCTGAATGGTGTCAGTTAATGGCTAACAGGAACAGGCACCATTTTCCTATTGAAATTTTTAGACAAACTCTTATAACTTTTCAATAAGATAGTTATTACTTATGAAACTTTGGAACTGGGTCCGGATCGCTAGAGCTACATTTCGGCAGAGACTGAGTGTACGGGCAATGCATAGTTTACTTTTGCGGTGAAAAGAAAAAAAAAGCTTAATATCTGGGTAAGGGGCACACTGTACAAGGCCAAAGTACAGTGCAATGTTTTATTGGGCTATCAGTTCATTACGTAGCATATATGCGTTACATCACAGGGCGTGTTATAATCTGAAACAAACTTAGTCACAGCAATTTCTTTTTTCTTGTTTTACATTTTGAACGTTTGAGACTGGGAACAAAAAAATGAAAGATGTCTACAACTCTCTGTAACGCCGAATTAGAACGCAGCTCTTGAGGAGGGGGAGGGGAAAGTATGTCCCTCCTCCCCCTCCCCCTCTGCTCCCCTCCGATTTAGAGGGAGATTTTCGCTAAATTTAGAAAGAAATTTTCAGCTAAACTTAGCGGGCAAGTTTTTCAGCTAAAACTTTTTTCGCCATAGTGGGGAATTTTTTCCGCTACATTTAGTGGGGAAATTTTTTCGCTAAGCTTAGCGGGGAAATATTTCCGCTAAATTTAATGGGAAAATTTTTCCGCCAAATTTAGCGTGGAAACTTTCCAGCTAAATTTAGCAGGAAAATTTTTATGCTAAATTTAGCGGAGAAATTTTCCCGCTAAAGGCTTATTCACATAATGCATTTTTTCAATGTGCCACAGTTTAGCGAAACCGAGATTTCGTGAAATCTGTCTATTCACACGTGGAGTTTGACACACGAAACCTGTGACGTATTGACTCATGAGGATTTCGCCAAACCTTGACATCTGCACCAAGAATATCAAGCGTTTCGCATCAAAATTATATGAAGTATGCACAGTGTGAAGAGACAGTCTGTTTTATTATTACCACTCAATAAACTTGGTCAGATTCGGCTCATCGGGTTCACTACTCGTGTCAAACCCGGAAAAGACTGCTAACGTCGAAGAACAAGCATACGACCTTGAAGCATTTCAGAGATTTTTACACCACTAAAAGAAAATTATCCCCAGCCATCATGTTTATATGCGGTGCTGGCACTCGTCGCGACTGTTAAAAAATCTGCACCGCACCACCAAGCCGTACTGCCAAAGCGTTGTTCACACGCAACCGAATAGGACCAAGACTCATCGCCCATATGCACCGCTTCTCCACTTGTCGATCGCCATGTTTGCTTTTATTTTTTCGGCTTTGGCTCGGATACGGAATCGGCCAAAAATCAGACACCTCCAAAAGCTCACTCCTCCTCGAAGGTCAGACGTCGTAGCGAAATCGAATGGCCATTGGCAGCGTCCGCGTTTCTCCTACAGGTGATTGACAAGCCTCGTTGAGGTTTCAGTGAAAAATTGTTCCAGAAGCGGGGAACGCGCACCACTTTTTTTGGAGGCGCGCCACTTTTTTGGTTGCGTTCAGACGAGGAATCTGTTTCCCAAAACCTAGTTTCGCGACACAAGATTCGCCAACAAGATACATCGTGTGAATAGACCTTAAATTTAGCAGGAAAATTTCCCCTGCAAATTTAGTGGGGAAATATTCTTGCTAAATTTAGGCGCCATGTGACGTCATTATGGGAAGTCTCAGAATGCAACGCGCAGTTACACCAACAGCAACGGCGTCAGCAACAGCGTTCAAGCCGGAAACGGGTACCCAAGATCTGCGCTCAAAAAGTGGACAAAATGCACGCACAGGTCTGCCTGGAGAGCACCTTCATGGCCTTGGGACTGAGAAATGCATTGGCTTGGAAGGGGGAAACCATCCATCCATTCATGAGACTTGTGTGTAAGTTGTCCACTTTCTGTTCCTAGTCTTGGGAGTTTAAGAGGTTGAAAGTTCGCCAGCTCGCCTCCATTTTCTCACTTATTTCTTCTGTTTTCTTGTTTGCTTCTTTTTCTTGAGCATAATTATGTATTCAGGTGATCACACTAGCTAGAGCTTCGAAAACACAAGCATACCATCTAATTCACTCTTTGCGGAAAACTACAATTATGAATATTACGCAAGTGATTTATGAGATCCACATAACGAATGGGCAGACACAAGATATCAAGCAAACCTTGAGCGATCGGATGTGCTGTGCAGTCTCGCAAGACGTGTCCTTGTTCAGCAGGCACTCAATCACAGATTCCTTGTTGTACAGTCTGAAACCCAAGCAAGAGACCGGTTACGAAGCAGTGTTCGCTGAAACATCGAAAACACACGATATCGCCATTCCAAAGAAACAGGCAGAGACTGCGTTGGCATACCTCCCCAGTTCGCAAGAAACGATCGGCAACCTCAGCTCTTCCTGCGTGACGGCACAGTGTTTCCATTTGGCGACAGCCTCGGCGTCTTTGTCTTTCTGAGAAGTGAGAGAATTAGGAGATTTCTAAGTCAAGTCCCACAAGGTGTAAAATCAACCCCGAAAAGCAGGGTAAACATCGGCGACGGCACAAACGATGGCATGTTGATGGCACTCGCGACAAGCAGAAAATGCCTACACTGACCTGTTCTGGCTTCTGTTTGGTCCTTACAAGTTCGTCTCGACGTGGAATGGTACCACCATCGCATCCCATGTCTCTGTTTTGTGGAAATTGAGCTAAAACAGGAACCAGACGACGTGAAGAATCTGAAGTGAGATGCAACACAGGCTACACTGACGCCGCAACCGGAAACGCGTTTTCCCCCTGGTGGCGGAAACATAACACTAACCATTACCGCTAACCATTATGGGTGAGCAGCAAGCACACTGCGCAGCAGAATGTAGTTCACAGAAATTTACTTTTCTCTACTTTCTATCGTAGCACTGCTCTGTAACATTATTTTCTGGACAAAATCTAAATCTTTATGTTCTCAAACAGCTTTTAATTTTATTTACACTATTTTGTTATCACTTCTTATCCGTTGTTTGAGGCGTAAGGCTACACAATGACGCCCGGTAACAGGTGGGATTTAAAATTCCATTTAATTTTCTCGTGTGTCGCGCAAATCCCTCCTCGTTCTCACTGTGCACTTGAATGATGAACCCGATATTTGAAGTGTAGTGATTCAAAACTTTACTGAAATTGAAAATGGAGTTTGATTTCGACGACGATGTATTCGATTCACCCAAGATCCGAACTCAAATTTCGGAAACTTGTTACAACGCGAAGATTTGTACGCCTGAGGTATGGCCTGAGGTTCACCATTTCTGTATGCTTCTGCTGAAACGACTGCACGACAGGTCATAATCACGACGGGCGTCTGATGTCTGCGTTGTAGATGTGAGCCTCCCACAATGCATAATTTATGTATGTAACTATAAAAAGTAAACTAATAACATATTTAAATTTCGTTCTTTTTGCAGATGTCAACAATTTATTTTTTATTCATGCACTTGCCGAACCTTGATAGACTACATGTAAACATTTATGACTACTTGAACTTTGATAGACTTCTGCGTAAACATTTATGACTAAGTGACGAGGCATTAATTCCAACACTGCATTAATGATTTAGCACAACCTTGTTTCGTTTGTACTACGCGGAGCGCAAGTTCGTCTGCTTTTTGCGCAGTCGTTGTGGTGACGTCAGAAGACCGAGTTCTGATAGGTTCTGATTGGAAGGATAGTGAGTAGACCTCAAGGCAGCTAGCATTGAGGTCTACCCACTATCCGTCCAATCTAGTCAATCGGAACTGGGCAGTCTGACGTCACTGCAACCCCTGCGCTAGAAGCAGACGAACTTGCGCTCCGCGTAGGCATATGTTCTAGAAACATCCATTCACTCTGTTTTTCTTCGTCGTTCCAGTGGTTTCTTTCTGCAGCAGGGAAAGACACTGAAGAGCAACTATTACTGGCAAAACACAAGGCAGACTATGAATACTACCGATGTTACTACGTTAATGCTTTGGAGAGCTACACACGGTGCTTGGCTCTCGTGCCGAAATCAAATACCGCAGTCCAGCGAGACTGCATCGAGGGAAAAGCAAGGTGCTGCTTGAAGCTTGGCAAAACTGGAGAAGCCTTGCAGTGTGCCAAGGAACTGGTAACTTGATTGTCTACATTTTTTTATTAGGCCATCAGTTCTAGCAACTGAAACACTCCGAGCACACACTCCAAGATTTTTAGGCCACAGCAGGGTGTCTTTTTTTGGATGCCCGGCCTGTAGCACGTGCTCGTTGCCTTCCTTCCTTCATGAGCTGCACACGCACACTTAAAGCTCACGAAATGCCTAAGTGTAGGAAACTCACTCCGGAGGCGGGACAGCCGAGAAACCTCCTTGTCGTTCCTATCCTTTCAAAGACTATATAAGATCTCTCAATGGCACTGAACTGCAAACTGCGGCAAGGGTCTCATCTGTGATGCACAGCCAGCACAGGATTATTTATCCCACAGCTGGGAAAGTGGGTACCCATGCCCCTTCCCTTCCAGGATGCATGCCACAGGCACGTAGCCAGGAGGGTGGCCCATGGGGCCCGGCACCCCCCCCCCCCCCCTTGAAATCTTCCATTTTGCTGGGGCCTCCTCTCCCCCCTCCCCCTCACACAGCATTTCGTCATGGGCGGCACCCCCCCCCCCCCCCCCCCCCCTCCCCCCGAAACAAAATCCTTGCTACGTGCCTGGCATGCCATCCCGTCACTGAAAAGTACTTGCAATCACCCAACCCTTCATGTCACTCGAGCTTTTGTTCCTATCTTTCATTCAACTTTTGCCGCAATCCATCAACAATTCTTCTGTTCAACTCCAGGAAAGCCTGGCCAGCAACTGTGATCACAGGGTGGCCTTGTGGATGATGCTGGCTGAGATCCATCATCTTGCCGCAAACACATGTGGTAATGGTTAAAGAGATTGGCCTATCATGGGCTGTACTAACGGTGCCCCACGTGGCCCTAAATTGCAGAGGAGATGGCTGCACTCTGCAGGTGTGTTCTGGTTCGTCCGTGGACATCCGAGCTGTGGTACCGTCTTTCCAAATGCTACCTGTCTCAAGCCTCCTCCGTAGCCAATGGCATCAGCTTGCCCTCATCTGCTCTGATGGCTGGTGCATCCTTGATAAGAACAAGGTGCCTTAAGCTCTTCTTCAAAGTTTCTAATGCTCTGTGGTGCTCTACACTTTATGCTGAAAGCTACTTCAACGAAATAGTACAATGGCATATCTGATAAAACCTCTTGGCACTGTCGAAGGACAGGCCTGAGGGGTACCCTTCAGCTTGGTGCGGTTGGCTTAATTTGTTTAAGGTTTTATGCTGGCTCATCCTGTTTTTTTCGGGGCTCCAGCGCTAGGTCATTTTTTGCAGCATGACACATCGAGCTCGCGATTCCCATTTTACTACTTCACATTTTTGCCACTACAGTCTAAGCTTGTTATAACAGACCTTGATTTTGACCAAGATTTCGGTCTGTTCTAAAAGGAGTATGTTGTATGCAGATATGAAGTTGAGTCAATGGTGCATAGAGGAAAAGCAACCGAACTTCACAAATCTGCATGTTATATTGAAATGTCTGTTGTAACCAGGTCTGTTGTAATGAGCTTAGACTGTAGCTGGCACTGTCTCCTTTCTGGTTGTGAATAGTCACATCAGTTATAGGGGTATTCACTGGATGCCATATTTGAGGGCTATGTTTAGAGCACATGCCCAGAACAAGCTCAAATTAGTAGGCTGCTAAGACCAGCAATCTTGATGGTGCAGAATATATGTTGCAAAAGAACTGTGGAAGCTCTCTGCCAGCACACGCTCAGCAGTCGTGCACACAGCTATGGCAGCCAGTGAATACAACCTATGGTCTCTTTGCGACAATAGTTGGAGCATCCCGGTTCGGGGTTGCCATCGATGGCGCAGAATATATGTTGCAAAAGAACTGTGGAAGCTCTCTGCCAGCACACGCTCAGCAGTCGTGCACACAGCTATGGCAGCCAGTGAATACAACCTATGGTCTCTTTGCGACAATAGTTGGAGCATCCCGGTTTGGGGTTGCCATCGTGACTCTTTGTGCAAAGCCTACCATGATGTTTATAGAAATACTAGTAGTTGAAGAAACATCTGACATATCGACAGGCTTGTTTGGTAAGACTGCTTAAATCAACAGATATGTAAACGTTCTGTATTTATATGTATATAGTATGCAGTGTCACATGTTCAAAATATACATGATACTACATATTTTTTTTTGCACAAAAATATGAAGCTGCATGAACAGACACATATCCTTACAGGTTCCTCTACCAGGGATCTATGTCTGGACACCGGTCGTTTGGGAGAGTGCAGAACTTGAAACGACGGGACGAGGTGTGCAATCTTTCGCAACTGTCAGCGTGCGTAGTTGGTGTCGCTTCCAAGTTGTGACTCAATTTAAATTTGGTTTACAGGTTCAGGGGCTGATTGAGGATCTCAACCTTCCTCCCAACTTCATAGAGCTCGCTTTAGAGGTATGCTTTTGATATGTGATGTGTGTGACATGCGTGATTTGTGTGTGTGTCATCAGCTCACGAAGGACAATAACAAATACAGTAAAACCTCGTTACAACAAAATGGGATATAACAAACTAATGGATATAACAAAGCAATCATAATTCCCCTTGCTTGCTAATAGTGGGAAGAAATGGACATTGGCTATAACAAACTAATGGTTATAATGAAATATTTATGACCGCTCCTTCAACTTTGTTATAACGAAGTTTTATTGTATACCTTTTCGCCTAAATCGCCCCAGCGCCGTGAAGCATGCAGCGAGCATAGTCGCATGTGCTGCACGTGCTGGTATCTGCAGCAGTAACTGTTTGAAAGCATACATCTAAAACAAATGGCACTTGGCGCACGTGCTCGTCAACGCCTTATTTTGGTTATTTACTTTTATGCAGACAAGGCGAGCGCATGTACCTACGTCCCCAGCATTCTCTTTGATGGTTGGACAATTTGGCAAGACAGCTATTGCAAAATTCGTTTCAGGAACTAAACAAAGAAGATGATGGGAACAAGGATCTCGAAAGAGACGACGAAGAAGGATCCTTGGCCCTGCTCGTAAGTCGCCAACAATAGTTTGTCCTGAAGTCGCTTCTGCGAGTTCCGAATGTATCCAATTGCTGTTTCAGACCGTGACGTCGGCAGAGGTAGTTTCAACATTGGAGAAGCGATGGTTCTCGTGGGTCAAGCACACACCTTCAAGTCTCCAGGGGATGTGCCAAACTGAGTTGTTACAAGATTTCAAACTTCAAACTGTTCATGATTCGTGACGGCTGTGCGGTCTGACACATGGACGTGACATGAAACTGGCAGGCACGAACCAGCTTGGCAGTCACATGACCCCTGCAAGCTTTGTACCTCTACGTCTCATTTCGGCTCATCTTTTTTTCTGTACAAAAGACTCTTTACAAGAACCAAAGATTCCTTGGCCACAATTTTTCATTGCTTTAGAAAGAAAATGGTTGCGGGTTGCATCCCGAGCAAGCAGTGCTGCAAGAAGTTTGTGCACCGTTCTTGCAGTAATTTCATTGCACCAAAAGCCAAATTTAACCAGCTTCGCAAAGAGTGAATGCCACGGGCCCCGTGAGCCCACCAATGTGACGAAGCAAAAGGTGCGACAGCTTTCCGGATGAAGAACGCAGTCCGACGTCATGCTGTCACGCGCCTGGCTTCGACTCTCCAATCGGCTCGCTGGATCCGTTGCCTTCGCTGTTTGCTAAGTTACGGCATTCGTATTACCCGCATTTCGTCTGCACGCCCGGCAGCTAGCACAGCGCACTACACGTCCTGGGCTGAAGAAAACCCGTGTTATGCGTGGCTTGTCCCCAGTTTCAGGTTTCTTTACAATGCCTTAAAAGACAAAATCTCAAAACGAGTTTTTAGGAACCCAGGGGTTTTTGGAGCTCCCAAATTTCCTCAATTGCCTTTGCCTCCAAGTAACGTGGTTTTTCGAGTTTAAGCTCTATTTCAGCAGATACGAGCCATGTGGTGATGCATAGCTATGTCTTTAACATTTCCCTAGTATGTGCACTGTTGTTTAAAGGCTTATGGGTCTTTTTTACTGCATTACCGCATTAATGCCGAGGCAAAGACGGGTCCCTTGGTTGTCCACCGAAGAGAGGTAAGCATTCTTTGGCAAAGAAAACTTCTTAGAACCCCCGCTTCGAATCAAGAAATGTACACAACTCGAGCACGCATGCGCACCGCACGCCTTCACACCATGCAGTTTTCCACGTCCAGGAGCGCGACCTGGCGGTTGAAGTGGGTCCCGAACGAGAAGCAGTTGCCTCCGCCACCGACAATAACCACGATTCGCCTTCCAGCACAGTCTTTTGTGAGCACGCTCGTGTGGCCAAAGGTCATGAAAGGGCGTTGGGGGTCCTGAGCCGGCAGGGCGACTTCCCTGCATGTCAGTGCCCCAATGTCGACAACCGCAATGCCGGAGGGCGTGCCAGGATCGCCGCCGATACCTCCGATCAGCACCAGGATCCTGGCATTGATGAGATGCGCTGTGTGGCCGTATCTGTCGGGGGAGGCAGGGGGGGGGGGGGGGGGGGGGGGGGCAACGAGGAATGACACAATTATTAATCGCCATCTTTGTTTCGACATGTGGAGGAAAAGGGCACTACCATCAATTCAACCATTTGTTCGTTGTTCACAGTATTCAGTTTAACCGAACACTGTGAACAAGGAGCAAATGATTGAATTGATGTAGTGCACTTTTTCCTCCACATGCCGAGACAGTGCCCACGAATTGTAGAACAATGTTTTCTGGATGTGCCATAGAAACGTTGCGGAATAGTTGACGGGGACCACATGTATATGTATAATAACTAGAGCCACTGAAGAAGTTACACTTCAGGGCAACGACACTTTAGTCATCTTGGTGCATAGAACCGTCGTTGCCAGTTATCTGAAATATAAGGAAATGCTTTTCCGTCCTCCAGACAAGCCGAAACAGTCTGTGACAGCAAAACAATATTGCCTGAGCTTCTAAACACACCGTATCTAAAGTTCAGGAAGTTTCATTTTCGAACAGAGTGCAATACGTTAAGTGTAACTTATTATGGGGCTCTAGTATTAACCAGTTGATTAATTTGCTTTTGTGGTACCTGTGCTGAATTTTGCTGTCATGTTGCACTAAAACTTTTTACTTTATGAACATACACATTGGCCTATTTGACAAAGGTGAAATGTCCAAAAAGTGACAACATACAATGTGACATGACTTAGCAAAAATATTTTAGCTCCCCAGCAGCTAGTTTCAACACTTGATGCCCACGCTCATTCTCCTCTGGGATGTCGTGCTATGCCTGTATCGTGTGCTCGCACATATTAGTTGCTTAAGGGGAAACTCCGGTCAATATTCTCGAATTTAGGATTAGGACTGTTTTCAGCCACAGCAGTGTCCATAAATTACAAGGTATAATTTTTTTTCTTTAGGGTATGTGTATAGTTTTATAAATATCACGGCTCAAAGTTTGGTTTCGGGCGCCTACGGCAAAACCGAAACTATCTGCTAGAGGGATGGCAACACTGATCATCAGCTGTCCGGCAATGACGTTCCATCACAAGAGTGCTGTGGTACGCTGTACAACCAATCAACCGCAGCTCCACCGCAATGTGACGTCACGAGTGCTATGGTACGCGGTACAACCAATCAACCGCACCTCCACCACAACGTGACGTCACAAGAGTGCTGCACCAGTGTTCCTTGACTAAAAGCTGACCCACTTGCCGCTCGCTAAAGAGCAGCCGGTCGCATCTTTAAAATCGGTTTTAGTGGAGTATGCGGCTTCACTTTGACGTAGTATTTCGGCTGTGATCATATTTTGTGCCACTAAAGTTTTAGACTGGAGTTGCCCTTTAAAGGGACACTGACATGGCATTTATGCTTGCCAAGGTTTTTATTTGTGCATGACATATGAGAGCCTAACTACCCAGGAAACAATTCGTGGCGCAAAATTTGTTTTCTTTCGACCTGAAAACTGCGAATCGAGAACTGGCCGGTTTGAGGCACGCTCACTCTCTTCTTTGTGGTCACATGCCATTTTCTATGGTTTAGACACAACCACCAAATACAATCGAAGGTCATCGAACGTATACGCACAATATTAAAAATAGAAAAGAAATATGATACCCATTTTTTGTGCCTTCTAAAAAGCTGCAAATACATTGATTGGAAAAAAAAAAAGTTGTACAGTCACGTGACTTCTGCCAACTCTCTCCTCCTCCCAGTTTCTTCTTCCTCCCCAGACCAGTTTCGGTTTCGAGCAGTAGCATTTTTTAACTTTATTAAAAATATATGTGACGCTGTAGCAAAATATTGATTGATTGATTGAAAATATAATCCGACACCACAATAACTTGCCTTGCAAAAAATAAAAATAAGTTCTGCGGGGTGTCGGTGTCCCTTTAAGCACAGTAGTAATTTAGATGTTCAACATAAGTATTGAACTGATTATGGAAAGCTAATCCCTGCATGTTTGTTGACTCTAGGCTAAACAGAATTATAAAAACCTAAAAGGACAGTTCTTAAAACTTGGGTATAGAAAGGCAATAATTTGTAAATATCTAGCCTTGTTTTCAGGCAGAAAAAAAAGGAACTTGCAGAATCCGAAGTGCTTGGACAGAAATTTAGGAAGATATATGTAAGCATATTACCCTACACATAATTTCCTGCATTGTTTCTAACAAGATAGACAATTGGATAAGTGTGTATGTAATGGCAGTAAACGCTAAAACTAAAATCTCTAATGGAGACGGGATCAACGTGTCACCTCTACTTTGTTTCACATTACGATCAACTACAGAGGACGCTACAAGTTATCTTACCCCATTCAGTGCTGTAAGCATATTACGTGACATGGTGGCAATGTCTGCCACGCATTACTGCACCCCTCGCGAAGGTGGCACGACACTCGCACTATATTGTATTCGATGGCCAGTAGCGTCTACTGCAGGTCATCGTAAGGTGAAACGCAGTATAACAATTCTCTGTCACACCAATTTCTGGCACTTTTTAACTTAGTCTTATTTTTACTTTGTGAACTGGCCTCTTTTTTTATACAATGCCGTCTGGCATAAATGAAGGGACGGTCAAATACCTCGGCAACAGCCCAGACAGTGGCAGCCGAACCCATGTCGAAGTGCAGACATTGAAGCAGTGCACGCTGTTCAACGCTTTCTCTTCGGCCGAGAGTCCGCAAGCCAGCACCATCTCGACGCCGTCTCTTCCGACAACCGCGTGGCTGTGTCGCGGCGTCGGAGCGTCGTTACCGTGACCAACCTCCGCCCACTCCATCGTGGAGACGTCCAGAACGTGACAGTCGCCGAGTGCTCCAACGCCCACAGTCCGGCCTCCAAACAAAACAACCCTGAGTGTCCCGTCGTCTTGCCGAAGACTGCAGAGCGTGTGCCTCCATCTAGGCTTCGGTGCTCCTGAGTTGTAAGCAACGTTGCTTGCCACGTATAGGTCCTCGCTCGTTCTCGTAAGGAAGACGTCGTCTTGAAAGGCTTTCAGCGGAGAAGAACGGCCACCGTTGATCAGTATATTGCTGTCATCGAGACACGTCATTGCGAAGTGTTTTCGTCCTTCCAACCCGACATCCAGCAACTCCGACCTGAAATCGACAAGGTCTACAAGGACAGGCGCGAAGCTGCGATGGTGCTTGCCACCATTTTCTGCAAACCCACCGACGATCAGCAACTTTCCGTTAGGTGTTGTCACAGAAGCGTGTCCAAATCGCCGAAGACTCGCGTCAACATCGCAAAGAGTCCAAGACACTCGGTGTTCCATGGACAGTTTGATCTTTTCCGACGCTGTGTGTGGCACGAAGCCAGATTCAAACGCATTGAAGATGTCTCCTTTTCTGGCAAGAGAGACGACATAATGGTTGCACTTCTCGTGGAGCTCTTCGAACTCATCGAACGGCTCCAGCGAACGAACGCGCAAAGACTCCTTTGGGTCGAGTTGATCGAGGAACTCTCTCATGGTGATGCATTCGCAGCTGTCATAGCCAAGCAACCGGTACCTCTTCTTTAAGGCATCCGGGTCTGGGTAGTCTGTAAGCGATTTCAGAGGCGAGCCCAACGTTGCAAAGTGCCTCAGCATGACAATGCCGAACGCGTCGTAGGGCCGAATCTGTTCGTAGACCACAAACATGACGTCTTGGAATTTTCTAGCCGTCCACGCGACCAATTTATCGGAGTGCTTGGTGTCGACGTAAGAGAGGACGCATTCTGATAGTAACAGCGTGGGAACCGAAAACAGGAATTTGGCGTTCGACAGCGAGGCCTCTAAGCCCTCGAGATCGCATAAGTCCTGGTTGAGTATGCAATAACTCGTCCAGATCCCCGGTTCAACAGGCGAGCCGACCAACTCCGACAGTTCGGAAGAACCGTTGATAACTTCGGTCTTCTTCGCCACTACGAGAGGCAGGTCGATCTCGAAGTAGCGACACTGGGTGGGCAGCACACCTGCAGACTTGAGCCTGAAAAACGTTGTGTCAAATCCAGCGCCGATGGACAATATCTGACACGGCTGCTTTCCGAGAAAGCTACAGTACTTTAGCAGCAGACGCGAAACGCACTTGGCTCTGACGTAGTAACCACGGTTGATCAGGGGCGACCTCCTGGCTGGTTTACTCACAAAATAATGCAGAAAGTCGTCTGTTTCGTAACCTCTACATGTCATCGAGTGCTTGCTAATCACGCAGCTGTCATTTGTGCTTTGCACCGAACGGTGCTTCGCAGTCTTCGTCATCGCGAAGACGTCGGGACAACTAGCAGACGCTACCGACACCTGGGGCCCGCCATCTTGCTGTTTCACGTCTTGGCAATCGTAGTACCGCACTGCATTCAGGCTTTTCATATTTAACTTTTGCACGTTTATTCACCTATTGACTATTTCAGCTAATTAATAAAATTATTATTTGAATTTAGGTAAAAATTTACAGTTGATTAAGCGGTATGATGTCTGTTTCTAACGTCACAGGCCCCGGCGAGTTGTTCTAAAACCAAAATTGCATAAAAGGGTAGTGTCGTTGATTAGTACTACCTCCCTGTTACACGGCTCTTCTTGAATCGGTAAGTATTGCAGTTCGTTTCACATTGACGGTGAATACAGAGACCACCGTCTCTAACACGGCTGGAGTTATCCCTCGTCCCTACAACAATCGCCGTTGTCCGTTCTCTTTAAACCGGCGTGTAGGCTTAGTTTCTTGTGGGGTAGGTGCTCGTAACTGTCACACCAAAGCTCGCTGTCGTACCTCGCCGATTTTGAAGGACACTTAAAACATTTCAGTCGGTTCCAAACCTGAGAAAACATTCGATTTCTTCGTCTTGAACCCGAACTAGTAACCAGACCGGTGTTCGTTGAACGCAGGTGTAATGCTTCGCCTCAAAAAGAGCCGCCCCTGTGTAAAACAGAACGGCTCATACATTTTTTTCATTATTCCCCTAAACGATCCAATGCTATAAGGTTCACCCCTGTCTTTATTTAAATATTTGTTCGTGTTGTTCCGCTACACCGGACGTCACTTGACTGGCCTTTCTCACCGTCATTTTTAAAAGCCGGGGCACCGCTGCCGAGCTGTCAAGTGCCGTTGCAAGCAACGACAAGCCGCTTGCTCCATTCCGTGCGCTCGTGGTCGCTGCACGTTGCTTGCTCACTGTACAAATTGACGAACTTCCGGTTTTTTCTTTTCTTTATACGTTTTGTGTCATTCGCGCGCACACATGGCTGCGCTTTAACGGACGTGTAAGCTTCCCCTGCAAGAAGACAATAAGTGGGCGAGGTGAACGACATTTTACCACGGGGCCAAGTCAGCCGGTTGACCGTAACGTCCGGGACCTCACCAACGACGCGTTGTCTCTTTAAATTCGCTCACCTTGTTTTTTTCTTTTTCACTTATTGCCGAGTTCGACGACAAAGCTTGAGAGGATAATCTCCATAGCTTATGTCGTCGGCGCGGTCGCAGCGTGTTCGTGCCGCTACGTAGCGAGCCGGTCGTCTTCGTGCTTGATCATCTGTGTCCTGGGTGGGGGGGACGTCTGTTCGTTTTGTTCTTGTTTTTTTTTCCTCCCGGCACTTTTTTAACTCTATATAAGGCCCGGCGCGCTAGTCTGTGACCGTGTCGCGCTTGAAATGTGCATACATTCGCGAGGCCGCTGTAACCTAGACGTAGCTCGCTCGCTCCACCCTTTTTTCGAACTTTGAACGCGATTTCACCGACGGCGTGTTCCTGGACCGCGCTAAGCCGCTTGTCTCGATCGCATTTTTGGAGTGTATTTAGTTGACACGTGACACAGTCAGCAGACGGTGTCTGCCTCTTCTCTAATCTTGCCATTACCGCCAGTGGTGGTTGTACAATGTTGGTGTAGATATGTGCCCCTCCTCTCCGCCCCGCAATCCTGAACTGGATATCGGCAGCAGATAAGGGACAGTCCGCATGCCCTCTATCTGCATTCATTTTGCGGGGTAATCGGCCAGGTCATTCAATAAAATAGCCCATGTCGCTTATGCACACGTCGTTTGGGTCAACATGTGGAGTTGTTGCAGATTTGGCAAGTACAGGTCTTAACTGCATTTTATAGAATTCACAGGTCGTTTGGGTCAACGTGTGGAATCGTTGCAGATTTGGCAAGTACAGGCCTTAACTGCATTTTATATAATTAAATACCCCTCGGTAGATTTTGCTCGGGTACTGAAAACCTTTGCCGTAAAATTGTTAGTTCCTTCCGAGATATTTTTCCGATTTTGGTTGCACTTTTGCTGTGTTGGTCCCTGTCTGTACCCTTGTAAAGAACCGAAGATCAAGGATGATGACTACTAGCTCTTTTTGGGGCAGTTTAACTGGGCTGCTGCAAGCTACTGTGGAAAGCGTAGAAGTGTGCCCCAAAGTTTCCACTTGACTATGTTAAAGCAGTCGGGTTCTTCCTAATTCTATAATTAGGTTGATGAGGTTCAGTACTTTAGACTACTTTTCTTCAAAAGTTCTTAATTACCCTCACTACCAAAAAAAAAACAACCTAGTATTGTGTACTGCTCATGGAAGGAAATTGTCATTTGAACAGAATTATTGTGCATATCATTTTTAAAGTAACTAGGGTTCTCCCTGGTTAGGTAACTGGCAGTCGTAGGTAGAAAGCTTCTGGAGGCGGCATGATGCCATCAGAGGTGAAGATGAGACTTGTGGTTTGAAGGGACACACTTTCAATAAAAACCAAAAACGAACAAAATCGAGACTCTATTGGATGGAAACAACACCCTTGGGTATGTTCCTGCCGACTGCAACCTCTACTTCTGGTTTTACTTAAAACTTTTTTCTTTTTTTTTTTTTTTTTTTTGTTTTGCTGCTGCTGCTTTGAGTTGGTATGTTGCTTCCTTTTTCATCAGACCTCCATGGTGGCAGTAAACGCAGTCTCAAATATCGGTGAAAAGAGCCTTTTTGGAAGTGAATGGACGGCACGATTAGCCGAACTCCCCAATGAGCGCTTTTAGCAGTTCAGCAACTCGTATGGGCAAAAAGCAGAAGGAACACTGGAGTATATAGCCTCTAGAAAGCTGAATGATCGGTGAGGATAATAAGTACTCTCGGAAGTTACTTTAAAAAAAGCTACCTCGTATCGAAACAGTGCATGGAAACTCATTGTGATGGTTGTGCGAGAGAAGTATGCTTTGGCTGACTGGTTTTCTTAACATTACTGGATCCTTGGGCATGTGTCTACACCAAACTATTTTGGTCGCAAGTTGGCTGGTTCATGGAATCGAGGATTAAGCCAGTTTTGAACACTTGAATTTCGGTGATAATTGTGATAACCAGGAATTGAATAAAATCATTGTCTTCTAATGAAAAAAAAAAAAAAAAAAAAAAACCTTGCCTGCAGTCTTCATGGATATTCTGAAATACTTCAAAATCATTCCTTGTGAAGTGAACTGTGCTTCAGTACGAATTAGGCACTGCAAGACCCCTCAAAACACCATTGCACATAGAAAAAAAGAAAAACAAAAAGGTTTGTGTTTGAAAGGGTCTGAATATGTCTCTGAAAGCCTCGAGAACCCTCGGAATTTTTCGCTCGAAGCCACAAATTCCAACCAGTGCAGTCGTTTCATGACCGACCTTTCAACAAACCACCCTTCACGGAGCCGGCACGGTCAGAGGGCAGGGCACTTGCGAAGTACCGTTGCGAATAGGCAAGAGGAGTCGAATTAAAATGGGGAGAGGAGGAAGGGGCGAGGGGAGCTGCACTAGTTTAGAGAGCCGGCCGCGTGGGCGACGCGACCTGTTTGTGGGCGCAGCAGCGTGTCTCCGTGTTCTTGTGTCCAGTGTGGGTCTGTCGACGATGCAGGAAATGGACAGTTTTGTTGCCTCAATCTTTCTGCTTTTGTTCCTTTTTTTTTTGGAGCGACAGGACAGGTGCTACGATCTGTGTGGGTGATTTGAGCGGCACTTGTGTAGCCCACATCGAGGCGTCGAGAGAACACGTGTTGGTGGGAGGTCGGGTGATGGCTTTACCGAGCCCGATTCGAATGCAGATTCTAAAGTCCGGTTCCTCGAACCGTAAAAATGGGGAAACGTAGGACAGAAGCCTTGTGCGAGCCAGATTTCCTATAAAAGTGGTTGTCTTGATGCTGACTTACAAATTAAAATCCAGCAGGGCCGAAAAGTTTCCTCTTCAATCTTTTAATGGACAAAAGGGAAGGGAAAGAGCCCCGTCCCTGCTGTTGGCCTTTCAGATACTTGGTAGGAACCATTTTGTGAAAGAAAAAAATGTTGATGGGTGTAGAATGGAAAAATTTGGGGACAGTGATTTTCTAGCATTTGCCGTAGTAACTGACAATTGGAATGGAAGGGAGAGGTCTTCTAGTTGCCCCGCCTCCAGCTCGAGCATGCAAACGCAGCCACAGCGCGACAGAGTGCAATGATAGCGTGCCTGCCGGTGTCTGGGTATTGCAAAAGACCCTGCCATTCTCTCCTGTCGGTGACTCAAGCTAAGTTTAAGGGACTGTAGTAGCATTTTGATTTATTTATGTGATCCCGTTCTCGCCCCCTCTCCGTGAAGAAAATCTCCAGCAATTGAGGAAGCACCCAGAATTGAAACGAACAAATTAAAAGGCAGGTGTGACTGTAGCCACTCTAGCAATGCTTTCGTTGCCTTCTGTCGCGATTTCGCTGCGTGTGCACACTCAAAGCTCTGAAGACACTGAAGTGTTTTTAAAGGTAGGAAGTTTATGCTGGAGGCGGTACTGAACTGCCTCCCTGTCATTTCTGTCCTCGGTGTATGTTACTTGATCAAGACGCTAAAAAAGATTTCTTTGCATGTGCAGGGTTGAGAGCGGTTTATCCGGGCAATCATGGGAGAGCAGGGTCCGCTGTGTGTGAACGTGCACGCGACCAATGCCACAACGGAGAACCTGAGCAGGCACGACATGCTCAACTGGGTCAACGACTGCCTCCGTACGCACTACACCAAGATCGAGGAGCTCTGTTCGGGTAAGAGGCCCCATTGCGAGGACGGCTGACAGATGTAGTAAACATGTAATTAAAACAGCGCAATTGAACACAAGGACAAGTACAAGAAGGGACACCGACTAGCCCTCCTCCAAACATTACTACGGCTGGCAGTCGTTTGGATTGGTCGACGCGTCCGGCGTCTTCCCTTCGTGGCCAGGCCTCGAACATTACCACGCGCATTTATTTTCCTAGTTCACCTGCCTTTGCGGCGTCGTGTTGGCTCCAAAAAGATGTTGTGAAGCTTGTTTCCTGGGTTTCTGCACCGTATTTTCTTAGCGATCCAACAGATGAGGTGGAATGTTGCAATGAAGTCAGACGTGACAGTTAGGTTTTATCATACTCAACTTGCCTCATGGTCCTGCTGTTTCGCATAATGCAGTTTCTCAACAGGTCCTGACTCAAAAATATCTCTTTTGGTAAGACCAAAAGCTATTCCTTTTTTTTTTAAATGTAAATGATGCCCACAGGAGTGTTTTTGTGCACTCTTTAGCAGCTGTGATAATCAACGGTAGGCACAAATGTAATGTTTAGTGGGGAACTGGACCAAGTCTTTAGATTTGGCTCAGCTCGCCCATTGCTATTGACTAAAAAGGGAAGGCCCACTTTCCCCTTTTTAACTGCAACTTGGTGTTTGCATTTGGTGTCAAGTATGTCGTGCCACATTGTCAAGCCTTGCGCAAATGCAAGAGGGAGAAGTCATTAGCACACGTTTTCGCAACAGTGTGTAGCTGCACCACTGTGGAAGCTAGGCTAGCCTTGACAACAGTAGAAGATAGTTTGTGCCGAATACAAAATATGTCAACTTTTGATCTGGAAAATTTTTATTTCTTCACAATAAACATTTTTAAAATCTTTAATGACCCTTTGAAGCAATCACAACTTTTTTCTTACTACATAGGCAAACAGGCAATGCTAACTTGACAACAAACTTTTTAAAATTGAGGCTTGGGCGAGTTGGCTATTTATGACTTCAAAGGTAACAGCGCAAAAGATAACTCGAACCACGTCATCAGCGCGACTTGAGAGGTTCCCTTTTGAAGGTGCTCGTGGGGTCCGAGTGTGTGAGTTATCTTTTGCGCTGTTGCCTTTAAATCGAGAAAAAAAAAAAACTTGGCAGCAAAACACAAAGGGGGTGGGAAATGATTTTCTCAATTTTGGTGCTCGACATCCTCTAAAATTATGCTAGACAGTCGTGGAAGACCATTTTCAAGGACAGCTCTTGTTAATATTTTTTTAATTTGGGATTACAACACTTTTTTTAGGTAAAGCAATCAGCCATCCGGCCACAACGTAACTTCACAAGGATCCTGCACCAGTATTCCTTGAATAAAAGCTAACCCGCTTGCCGCTTGCTAAAGAACAGCTGGTTTCATCTTTAAAATCGGTTTTAGTAGAGTATGCAGCTTCGTTTTGATATATTTAGGCTGCGACCGTATTTTATGCCATTAAAGCGATACCAGACATTTATTTTGCTTTTGTTTTCTACCAGAAATGCCCTCTAAGTAACCTTCAACAATGAGACTGAGATGACTGGCAGCGGGCCTGATGCCATTAATTTAGTTTTTTATATCAAAGGTCTATTCTCTCGCTCGCATTCATTGATGTTTCTTTTTTCTCTCTCTTCGTCTGTGCTTCGAAGCCATTGTAGTCCTTGTTTTGTACCTGAGCTGTTTTGTTTTTTGTTTTTCAGGTGCCGCCTACTGCCAATTCATGGACATGCTTTTCCCAGGTAAGCTTGCCTGGTTTGGGTCTCTTAACTGGAGATGCAACATAAACCGCTCTATTGCTTGCAATGCTCAGTGACCGAGCGATTTGTCAGCTGGGTCTCGCACTGTCCACGGCTCATTGTACTTGACACTATTATACCAACAGATTCTTTTGCAGTGGAGCTGTTAAGTGCTAGGCTCCCCAGGATCGTGTCCGGTATGTTGACACAAAGCTACCTGAACAGCTATCGCCATCTATAAGCGATGGCGGCGAGCACAAAACCAATATGGTTTCCGCCTTCGCTCGTAGATGGCGGCGATCTTTCCAGCTATCATAGAAGAATTGATAGTTGGGCGCGTTGGTGGAAATTCATCGTAGAAAACATCGCGAAAAACGGACGACGACTAAGAAGCACACGTAACGAGCGCAGCGCTCGTCACGTTTAATTCTTCGCCCTCGTCTGTTTTGCGTGCTGTTTCCTATGCTCTTATCAGTTTCGGTTTGAACTCGCGTTGGGTCGGCCGCGCGCAACTGCGGAAGGAGCGGCGACGTACGCAGCAGCGCGAATGGGTTCGCAACCGCCGCAAAGCCGCTGTTGCCTCGACTTCCACTGCGTCCAGCGCTTCAGATTCCCTTGCCAAAGAGCACATCGCTCGCCTGGAAAGCCGCCGCCGAGAACAGAATTAGCGGTGTAAAGGGCGCCGGCGGGCCAAGGCCACGGACGGCAATCGTGCCACAGAGGCCAAGCGCAAGCGCAAGGCCCGTCGACGACTGCACTCCACGCCGGCTGAACAGTTCCCAGGTGCGATGGCGAGGTTCCAAAGGGAGTTTGTGGAGAACCCGTTTGGAGTCACGTGTGCCGTGTGCGACCGCCTTTGGTTCGCCGGAGACGTATCCACGATGGGTGGCGTATCGGGCAAGAAGCGGGAATTGGGCACGTGGCGCGTTGCGGCAGTGTGTACAGTACAGCTCCGCTGGTCTTCCTTTTTTGCAAGAGAGGAAAGGCTGAAAGTTTTTTTAACTCGCTACTTGTAATAGAAACTCGTGTGTTGTGGGAAAGTAAATGAACGGGAAAGCTCATATCATCTGTGGGACTCTGCAGTAACAATGGCTGTGCTTGTTGTGCCATCAAGTACTGTGAATTGTGCATTGAAATACGAGACTTTGACACATAGCATCCATCGTATTGTTAAAGCGTGGAATGCTTTTTAACAGATCTCTGTGCATTTACTGCCAAGTTTAGCAGGAAACAAATTTATGTCCTGACATCCTGTCACATGCCTCCATGACATCGCATAAGCTGAGGTTGCGTCATGTCGAGTCTCGTAATGTGATGTCACGTGACGTCATTTTGTTTATTGAATCTAGCAAGGAGATGGTGTCATGCAACCTGGTCACGTAACGTCGGTAGGAAGTCCTGTCGTGATATAGTCATGTGACCCGACATCCTGTAATGTCTGATCCCAAACTTGGCAGGGAAATGGACTTTGCGTGACTCAACATTATGTGGCATGACATTGCAGTGTCAAGTCACGGTGTCGCACAATACCAAAACATTGGGTCATGTGACATCAATTTTCCTGCTAAATTTAGCTGGGAAATTTTGAACCCTTAGGTTTTTTTCACTTCCCGAAACTGTAGTTTTTTCACTCCCAAAACTAGGCTTCTTTCGGTTTTTCACTTCCTGAAAAGAGCGTAGGACGTTGTGACGTCTTCTAAAGAAATTCAAAACGTTGTTCCTGAATTACTGTATATTTCATATTGTAGGGCTTTTGAGTTAGAGGTCGCTGGTAATTGCAGTTATAAAAGTAAATAAGAAAATAAGTTGCTGGAGCAAACTGGGTTAAGGTTACATCGTTGCTAGCATGCAAGCTATACTGCGCTACATACGACACTACAAGCTGATAACACTCCATTGTAGCCAAGCATGTCTGGACAGAACCTGTGCAGCGCAATTGAGTGGCGTTTCATTCTTCCCAGGTTGCGTCAGCTTGAGGAAAGTGAAGTTCAAGACCAACCTGGAACACGAGTACATCCAGAACTTCAAGGTGTTGCAGGCCTCCTTCAAAAAAGTTGGCGTCGACAAGGTGAGCATTGCAACTCCCAAAGCTGAGGTGCCCGAAACAAGTCTCCAACCGGCGCTTACCGTGCCCTCCTTCGCGGTCTCTCGATTTCCCCCGAATCGCAGCGCGCTACGGCACAAAACTTTAAGCTTGCTTCAGACGGAGCAATTTCTCCGAGCAACTTGACGTTGCAACACCAGCAAACCGCGCGACCCGCGATCACACGCAGTGACAAGTCACTGCAATTTGCCTGCATCATCATTAAATTTTATTTTTCTTGCACTGTTTGCACGCACAGTTACGTGCTATAAGCATGTTTTTATACATTCAAATTGCGTTGAGAATCCTAGCTCGTATTTATGAAACTGTTTATTTCCAAAAACTATCAATTTCAAACTAGAACTATAGTTGTCGTGATTACCGGCACAAGATATCGCACGAAAATGTTTCGCCCCAGATTGGCTGCTACCGCTTCAAACGTCTTCGGATTGCTCACGGTTGCTTGCATGTTTCGAGCCGGACCCGATATCAGCAATTGGTGTCGACTTGGGGAAACCTAGGAAACAACCCGCCAGCAACCCCAAAATTGCCGAGAAAGTTGCCCCGTCTGAAGCGGGCCTTACAATTTCGCCGGGCAGAAATGGAGGGACCGCTTTCGACGAAGACTTCTTCCGGGCACCATGCCGTAGGGTGGCTCCGATCCAAAGAGTGCCCGTCGCGCTCCCAAGTGTGTCGACCTCACCCGGGCGGTTTGTCGTAGAACATCCCCGTGGACCGGCTGATCAAGGGCCGCTTCCAGGACAACTTCGAGTTTGTCCAGTGGTTCAAGAAGTTCTTCGACGCCAACTACGACGGCCGGGAGTACGACCCCGTGGAGGCCCGGGGGAGCACCACCATCGGGGGCGGCACTCCGTCAGGGCCCTCCCGCATCGCCAACCACCACAAGGTGGCTGCCAACAGGCCAGGTGGGTGGGGCAGGTTGGGGAGAAGTAGCGTTAGCGATTTTGGCCAGTGCCACCTGTAGTATTCGAAGACTGTGAAAAGCCCTGTCTACCTCCGTGCGACGTCGTCTCACCGTAATCGGTGAAGGGTTAAGAGATAAGGGTAGTTCGCCCCTATTCTCGTTCAGCTGGTCTGTGTAATTGGCTTTTCGCATTTTTAAGATGCATAATTTATACAATTGTAGGCTTAGCAACACTTTTATAATGGAAAGTAATAGAAATGTGTTCCCTAAAAATCTGGCACATCTTTTTGTGAATGAACCAGTTTACCCCAGATATCTTGATGAATAAAATAACAGTGTTTTTAGTCTTTTTATTTTTTTACAATTTTTTTTTTTTTTTGCTTGGTGTGTGAGGGGGGCTTGCACGAAGAAATTCAAGTGTTTGTTTTCTTGCCGCCTCGCATTTACGTGGTGCTTTTCGTCCAGTGCACGCGACCAAGCCGATGACAAGAAATGCGTTAGGCCCCGTCTCCAAACCTATCGGCGCCGCCACCCGGATACCTGGCGGTGCTGGCGGGGGCGACTCCCACAAGTTGGAAGAGCTCACAAGTCAGGTAGGCAGGGCTAAACGGGTGCACGTACCTATTGCAGTCTGCGGATAGTGCAAGCCGAAACGCCCACTCTGGTCTTTTTCTGCGTCCGCGGTCCCGACGCGAATGAAGTTACAGGTAGTGGTTTCTTTTGGCGAAGCTTTTTGGTTGTTATTGCTCGGCAACTGCTCCAATTTGGAGTGTTTCAGCTTTTTCACATTTTGTTAAAATAGCTTTGAAGTTGCTATTTAACGAAAAACAAAACTTTTTATTGGAAAGTATGGGTTTTTAAGTCTCAGTTTTTTGGTGTAAAATTGCTGAAGTAAAGGGAGTGCTAATGGCTGCTAGACCACCTGTATGGCAGACAAAATCGCCCAAATTTATCCTGTGGCGCACCAGTATATTTTTATTTCTTTCACAAATTTCGTTACATACCGTATTCGTTTGAACATAACGCGACCACGAATATAACGCGAGGGCAGTTTTTGATGCCCTCAAAAAGAAAAACAAATATTATTACTATCGTAACGCGAGCAGAGGCTGCTTAAATTTACACCGCACTCGGGGAGGGGGGGGGTGGGGTTTCGGCAGCCCATTAGCAAAGCAAAGCAAGACACGAAGCAGAAGTACCAACAAACAAAAACACCACGCCACTCTGGAGTAGAGACTAAAAAAAATGCGCAGGCAGAAAACACTGTTGGACCCCACACACGATCACACTCGTCCTTGTTCTGGTCCCCCCGCATAAACAAACGCCTCATATTGCACGATTACGTGAACACGGTCAGCGGTCTTGGCTTGATTTTGCTTGAATTGTCCAGCGGTGCGCTGCATTTCTGCTGTGTGCTTTTGGGCATCATATTACGGCAGTGTTAAAAGAACTGATAGCGTAGAAAATATTTACTCCACTTTGTCATAAGTACTACTGTGATGCCTTGTAACCTGGAGTATTTCACTCATTGGACCATACTCTGGTTGCGCATGATGGTAACCCTGAGTCTGGGAGAGAACAGTTCAATATACACCAGGTTGTCTGCACTCAAAGCATCTTTTTAATTGATTGGGTCGAGTTTTTTCCATTCTTCGCCAGTTTGTATGAATCCACTTGCTCGAGTGGTTTTCTTACTGCCGGTACTACCTTTGTATTGATTGCTTTATTGATTTGCATGGAAGGGAGGCGGGTGCATCTGTTTAGATCGATACTGGGTCAGTGTTGCTATGGGTACCGCTATGTATTTCACTAACAGTAGTGCTACACGTAACGTCTTCCTTAAAGAAAAATATAATTTTAAGCAATATCAAAGAGCAATTTTTTTTTTATTTCAGGATGGTTCGTTGTGCTATAAAATGGTTTGAGAACACTGCTAGACGGAACCCCCATTTAAACGATTTATTGTCTTTCCTACAAATAAACCTTTTTGTCAATTTAAATCTTTTTTTTTGTTACATTGTGTTTTTTATAGGAAAGAAATGTACCTAAAAGGGCAAAAATTTTCTTGTCTGGAAATGCTAATGAATAGAAGATAATTTATTCTGGGCACTGCAATAGTTGAAGTCAGCCCACGTAACAGAATTTTTTTGTTGCTCCCAAACGTATCTTACAATTATCCCGTGCCTTAAGCCAAGACAGAGTGGACACAAAGATGCCTCAAAAGAGGGCGAGCCCCCCTTTTGGTGCATCTTTGGAGGTGGATGTTGGTAAGGTTTCCTAAATAACGAGAATAGTGATAGAGAAAAAGAAGGAAACCAACAAGCCAGCCTTTTAATGAGATGCAAACAACCCAAGAAAAACATGTGGTGCAAAGCGTAGAGTTCATGAAGTCGCCACTGAAGAAAATGTTTGCTACACAGTCTCGGTATTCCTTAGGAAAGCCACAGAAAATCTGGGAGCTGCCTGGAGTCTCTCTATTTCACTCTTTTCAACCGAGTTTCTGGTGAATCTTCAAATCGATGATTGTTTCAGCTGTAAAAAGTATTTGGTGTTCTATTTTTTATTAAGGATGGTATTCATAGATATTCTGAGTTCAGTGTCATCAATGCACATAAGAAAAAGGGACGGTAAGCAAAACTTCCAATGGTCAGTTTTTGGCTAGCAATTTTCTTGCAGAAAAATGTTTGTTCCGATTCTCAAATGTCTTTTTCTTGATTCCCCTTATGGATTGGGGAACTTTTGAACCGCATGAATGCCTTGTCAGAGGCTTAGGGCAAAAAGAACACAGGAAGGAGACAGATTTCTGCCTCCCTCCTGCGTTGTTTTTGTGCTACATTGTAAATATGCAAAACCAACTAGTCCAACAGCTCACTTTGATACGGCTTAAGTCTGCATTTTGGAACCTTGAAGTTTGTCAAATTCATTTGCATTCACGCCACAGTACACCGACGTTCAAATCGCAACACTAAGTTCAGCTTGCCGAGGTCGCTCACCATCGCATCACAAATTCCTTGGAATTCAAAAAGGAACTCGGCATCTTGCCACAAACTCGTCGGAAGTCGTCGCGTCACACTTGTCAGATTTTAGAAAGTCATTCACATTGGGTCAGGAAGTGTGATCGAGTGGATTCGCTGGTAAATATGTCGGTGTGCGGTTGGAGGCCTTTGAAGGCGAAACGGGGCATGTGCTTGTCATCGAGGTCGCTGAAGGAAGCGTCTTTTGTCCCAGGTTGCCGAGCTGAAGACCACGGTGGATGGCCTGGAGAAGGAGCGAGACTTCTACTATGGCAAGCTGAGGGACATTGAGGTCCTATGCCAAGAGTGCGAGCAGAAGAACGGACAGTCGGAGGTCATAGAGAAGATCCTCGAGATCCTCTATGCCACAGAGGTGGGGGAAGCCTTTACCGTAAGCATTGGGTAGCGCTAGTACCGTAAATGGAAACCCCCCCTCGAAACATTCTGGCACACCTTGTATCCGGTCGCGACCAACTCTCCATTCTTGTTAAAAACCAACGACCAGACCCGAGATTCTGCAAGACAGAAGATCCTCCTCACCATGGGGGAGGGGTAAACGGGCGGTGGACAGGGTAGAAGGGGAGAGGAAGAAGCAGGGGAAAAATGGAAAGCGCAAACTGGTCGTCAGTCTTCAAGCGTGCTTGAATGCAACTCGAGGCTAATGAGGCCGGGGGGTTTGGTGGCAGTGTTAGCACATTAGAGCATGTAGAGTGATAGCTCGAGCTGCAGAACCCAGGGATCCTGGGCTCAATCCCCCACCCCTGCCAGTTTCTATATGGATGAGCGTCGCACTGGCATGCGGTCGTAGGTCAGTCTGCGCGACGCATGTCCAAGACCCCAGGCTGGCAGTCCTACCGCACTGGCTAAATTTCTTGCCTACACTGGAGACACCGAATGCCCACCGGGGCCGACTAACTTCCCCTGCTGTCTAAACAAACGTAACTCATTGACAATCGGAGCACCGATAGACTGATCTCGCTAAGTATGCGCAGTGCCGCCATGACTCTGATCCATGGGAAAACTGCTCACTCGTGTTCCACTCGCAGACTTGCAGCAGGGTTGTCGTGAGCGCAGAAAGTCGGCAGTCCCCACGATACATGGCAAGGGACGAGGTTTAACGAAACTGGCCGGCGAGATTGGTCTATCGAGTAATGTAGAGCGCCGACGATTACCCTAAACGCAGTGGACCTGGCTCAAACCCCCAGATGGGTTGTTCACGCTTGCATCGTTCAACTCTAGTATGTGGGGAGTGAAACCCACTTACTACAAAGTGCTGTTCCATACAATGCGAGAAATTACGTTGCCCAAGTATGCACCAAAATTTTAAACGCGATTCCAATGTTCCTTAAAGGGCAACTCCGCTTCATTTTTGGTTTTGAAAAAACAATGCAGTCCTCTTCAGTATCGCCTAGGAAGACCACACGTCAAATATTACGACGCAGAGGCCGGATTCTCAAAGCGAACTTACGACGAAAAAAATGCGTACGACAAATTTGAGAGAAAATCCGTATTCTCGAAACGAAATTGTCGTAACTTTTGCGCAGGTTACGACAAAATCCTACGACAGCTCCGAAGCTGTCTTACGCACTTTCTACGATCAAATTAACATGGCCGACAACGTCGCTCAGTTGCTCGGTCGCCGACGACCAACGGACATTTATTTTTCTACCTGCTCTTCTTGCGCGTCCCGACTTCAAACAGCAAGAAAAAAATGAAGAAGTACTTGAAACCGACCACGACGAACATGAACGCAGGATCCACAGACACCCGGAAAAGGCAACAAAGGCAACAATCCCACCGACCAAGCGAGCTCGACAGAATATATAGGCCTAGCAGGCACTCCGACCCGTTCCTGCGCAGCATTGCTCAGACGGTCCTTGGCCAAGACCGTCTGCCCACGACCGGCTGGCTTGCTGAATGGAATATGCCCACGCGACCCTTGTGGACCCTCCCCGTATGAATAGTTTGATAGCTGAACTAAATTTCAGAGGATCTCGATCACCTTGTTTTCCGAGGCAGCGGTGACGAACGCTGTCGTTGAAAAGGGACTCCTCGATTCTATCTCCTTGTTTTGTGTGATATAGAGCTCAAATAAACGCCATATGGATAACCTTCGCAACACGGTATGTACACTTTGTTATTAGTATGCCATTTTTAACTGTCGAGCTATATCAGTTTGTGGGAGCTACGCGATGCCGGTCCAAACTTTCTTTGCCAAGTGTCACGTCAGTATCGAGTTGCAATCGTAGAAGATCGGTCCCGAAGCGCTTACCGAAACGCAGTCTGAATCCAGCACTTGGATCAAACGCACGCGTCCGCTCCGAGTGTGAACAGGTATTTGCGTGACTCTTGCTGACACTCTCGTAGTTCAAACGTATCTTTTTTAACGTCGGCTCACTCCTGCATTTCCGAGCACGCGAGAAGCGCCGCGGCGGCTTGTTTCCATCTACGTCGCTTTGCAAACGACTGGCACGGGGCTTTTACCAACGATGACAGTTGTGTTGACTTCGTAGCGATCGAGTTTGTAGCAGTCAACGAAGCGTTTAAATCGTGTTAGCATCGATATACCACTGCACGGACACGAACCCCAGACAAGCGGTGGTGGAAAGGCCGCCCGTGTTATGAGAATCAGCTTGAACACTAAACATTTACACACAGACAGGACAGGACATACAGTCGTCTATCAACGAGTGGTTAGCCTGTTTGTTATTAAAAATCCACGTGCTCCGAACTATGCCTAGCTCTCTAATTGGTTGTTCGTTTTGACGAAGACGCCGTTGCCATAGCAGCAGCACCGGAAGTCATCGTTTCTTCGTAAGAGGTCGTAACTTTCCTCCTCTCACTTAAGAACGCGTTTGTGAATACAGTTTTTGCCTCATCTTACGATGATCGTAACTTTACGAACATCGTAGCTAAGATGTCGTAGGTAAGAGGTTTTTTATGAATCTGGCCTCTGTTCTGTCTAAATGTTTCTTAAACAGTCCGGCAAACTTTGCAACTCGCCAAGTTGCCGAAATCGGCTGACTTGAGCGGGCGAATTCAGGCGCAACCAACAGCTCAGTCAAGGCTACGGCATGGGCGGAGCCAACATTGAGCTAAACGTCATCATCGTGGCCCCCTTTTGCTTGTTTTTACTTCTCCGATCGAGCGTAGCGCATGACGTCATCAATGTTGCCTCTCGGCGCTCAGCGGTGTCCACGTGATTGGCGTACGTGCCTGCGCAGCGCGCTTCTTGGGAGCAGACCAACCGCCCGCCGTGGTCTGCTCCGCGACACAACCACTATCGTTGTCTCACCGTTTGTGATTATTGCCTCTCGAATTTTCGTCCACACTATGGATACCACGTGCGCAGAGTCGCAGACTTATGCCGCAGTTGTGCAGACGTCGAATGCCGTAGGCACCAAAACGTGGCGAAGAGTCCGGTGCAGACGACACTCGCGCCTGCCGCACGCCCGCCCCCATCCCGCCCGTCGTTGGGCCGAGGATCACGTGACATCTCGTACCATGTGATGGCCATGTACTTAGCGACCCGAGGCCAATGTTGTCAGACGGTGCCGAAGTTTTGGTTTCGATTTCCGCTCGTGTTTAAAATTAGATTTAAAAATATATATCCCATTTTTCGCGAAGCAAACGACGTAGTGTCTTTTACCAGGGCTTTTTAATTCGAAATCACTCATTATCCCGAAATCTTCGGAATTGAGGAGAGTTGCCCTTTAAAAAGAAAAACTTAACATTAAAAAGAAATCTTTGGTGCTTTGTTAAACACATTTGGCAAAATTTACCAGACAGAATGAGAGTACTTTTATAGTAACACTCCAATCGTAAAGAGTTCCATGTTGTTGGGTTTTATTTCCCTTCAAATTTGGGGCAAATTTTTGGGGTTTGATTATTTTTTCTAGAATCTGTGTATTCCAGTGTTCATTTCTAGCGCCGAGCTAGAAATCAAGGTTTATCACTATAAAACGACTGCGTGTCTATAAATTCGACCCCTTCCACGGACAATGGAACTTACGCTTGTGACCCAGAAAACGGGGGCCCGGTGCAAGGACTTGGTTCGGAGAGAAAAGAGCAACCTCAAGGACAGATACAGTGTAGACCGCATATAACGTATGTCGCGGGAGTCGCGAAAATCCGCACTATAAGCGGTACCGCGCTATAACCAAAACATCAATTTTTCAGGCCAAAATACATGCCATGAGACAACTTACCTTTGTAAAAGAATTTATTTTATGTTAGATGTAAAATAAACCTTATTTTGAGGAAAGTCTATTTCACCAGACTAGTACACTTCTTTCTCAAGTGTGTCGCACATTTTGAAAGAAATGAACGACTTTTGCCTGGCGCAGCCTTTTAACGGCATTGCGGGTTGCGGAGGGACGTTGCGAGCAATGGATTGCTAACCCTAATCACTTTTCTTCGGTGATGGAAACGCGTGAAAATTCGCATCCTTTATACGGTACGCGCCAGTAATACCTACAACTTGAGCACAGGCATAAAATGCTCCAAATAAGAAATCCAGGCGATGTTCAAAAACACAAATGCTTAGAAAGCACCACTGTAGTTGAAGTAAACAAACACGACGACATGGGCGTTTCTGCTGTCTTGAGAATGCCGCCACGACATCGCCGAACGCCGACTCTGCGCTTGTTCTCCGCGCAAGCCGAGCAGAGTTGACACCGAATGCTGACGCAGCCTTTGTGTCCAATATTACACAATCGGAGTTTGCGCCCGACTGATGGCAGATTTCGATTGTTAGTGCAACAGTTACCAGATGGCGCACACTTCTGTAAAGGGCTTATTAGCAGCTACAAGAGAGAATGTGGCTGACATTTGAATGTTTCAATTGCAGGAGGGCTTCTCGGTTCCTGAGGATTACGTCGAAGAGGGGGCACCCGTGGTCGGTAACGACGAGGAGGAATACTGAGGGCGCCATCGCAGCCTCGAAACAACGGTCATCTGGCATGCCACTTTACAGGCCCTCCTCTCCCGTTTTTATTTTCTCCGCACACTCCAGTGATCTAGCTCGTTACTTTCCTTTCTCTGTTGAAAGTTTATACCCTAGAATAAAAAGAAAAGCATTTTTTTTAAGTGCCGGCAAAAGTCTTTCACTCCGTTTCGTCGGTCTCATCGTAGGGTTTCTCTGTGGCCAACTTCGCAAGTGTCTGACTGGGCCTTTTTAAGTAGACAAACTTTAATCCATACGCACGGTGCTGGCAGCAGTCTCATCGGGGTTAATGCGTTTAGGCCCCTGTTGTTTGAAGTCTACGAGGTTTCAAATGAGTGCCAAAAACACGAGGACAAAGGGAGGACACCACATAGCATTGTCTGCGATTGAAGGTTAATTTACAAGTTGACTTACAAGCTAATTTTTTGTCCTTGTGTTTTTGGTGCCTATTGGACACCTGCGAACGCCCACAATTTTTCTTTTTTTTTTTTTAGGCAAAGGTTTGTAGACTATTAAAGCAATAGGCACATCTTCACAATCTTTCTCGTCTTTGAGGTGTGAAGTTTTCTGAAAGGTGTTTTTTTTTCTTCGGTTTTTGCTATGAGGCATTGAGATTATTTGCAGATCTCTGGAAATTTAACTTAAGGTCGACTTTATTGGGGCTTTTTGTTTTCCTGGTGTTTATTTCATCTTGCCTCTCCGTTGAGCATGCAGCAACAAGCTAATTCTTTTTTAAAAGCTTTTGTTTTCTCTAATGTTGTACCGCTTTTACGGCGCCGTGTTTTGCGCTCGAGAGTTTTTAGCTCCCCTCTAATTTTTTTGTTTTTTTGTAAAAATGTTTGCTGAACTAGGAGAGTGCTGTGTGGTATGTCAAAATTTTATGCACTTTGTAAATAAATAAGGGACGGTATTCGTAAGCTGTTTGTTGATAACCAGTGGGGGTGCTCGTTTTTATGTGAATGTCTTATTACCGAAATTGTTTTACAAAATTGGCGTTATGTGATGTCGGTTTTGCCGATGTTCAGTGTCTCTTAGTGCTTGCGTCTTTTCATGCACGGTTGTGCCGATCGTTTTAGTCTTCTGCGTGTCGCAGTCAGGGGGCACTTCAAAATGGCAGAATTCGGATGCTTTGATTGGCTGGCAAGTATTGTTAGGATAGAGGAAGGTTGACCGTGTGCTGTGTGGTTGGTTGCCTTTGCACATGGTCCCAATGCGTGAATGATTTCTCTCGAGCTTTGTTTCCTCTTCAGTTCATATAACGCTGTTACCTATGTCTTGTTGACTTTTGGACTGCGAAGAGTTGGGACAATAAACATGATTTTTCTCCACTGTCTTCGTAACTGTTGGCTCTGGATATTGTGAATCCCTGCTCTGTTCATCCTAGAATTGAAGAAAGCCCTGTGGTTAGGGGGTGGCAAAAGTATGTTTGTTTGTCACCTTCCATTCTCTCCGCCATAAACCATTGGGGCATGGATCGGATGTCGCATCTGATCGTGGTACTTAATCCAGGGTTGTGCTTTGTAGACTGCTAGAAAAATGACACTCTTGCCATTTTTGGTATTTGTATTTATGGCACATTGCTTATTTTTCTACGCGAATGGTGCGCATGTAGGTCATGGTTTTGTAAACATATGAATGGTGCATACTTGGCATTGATTTTTCTGAGCGTAGCCAAGGTTAGCACAGTTTCACATTGCTGCAACTAGTTGATTACTAGTACCATACTTTCCGGGCTACGAGGGTAGATTGAAAAGTTGCCGGAATGAGAATGAAAGCAATATATATCGGATTTAAGTTGTACTTGATTTTTCGGCTCAATTCCCCTGAAACTCTACACACTTAGTCCAGCCTTTCGATTCCCTCCTGGAAGTGACTTCCTTAGAGATCCCCAAAACAACTCTTCACAGCCTTCATTAGCTCTTCATTTGACAAATTTTTTCCGTCCAAGAAGGTCTTGAGCTTCAAGAATAAGAGGAAGTCCGAGGAAACCAAGTCTGAAGAATACGGTGGATGCAAAAGGACTTTGAATTTCAGTTCTGTCAGTCTTTGCTGAGCGACTGCACTTAAATGGGCGGGTGCATTGTTGTGGTTAAACAACACCCATTGACCATTTCCAGGCGTTTTTCTTAAATTGCTTGTTTCAGCATGTCCAGAAGTGTTGTGAAGTATTGGCCAAAAACAGTTTTCAAATTTTTAAGATAATGAGCAAAATTACTTTGTCTTCAAAAAACAGTGATGCCATTGCCATCGCATGAGGATTGTCGGTGCAATCGCTCGATTGTGGGTGTGTGGGCTGACGTCCGAAGGCCGGGGCTGCAGGGGTGAGTGCATGAGGGATAGCACTGTTCCCTGCAGAACGCCAATGTTGTTATTGCGCGTAGGTCCCTCCCTGGCGTCTTTGCCATAACCGGCTCTAACCTTGTTGGCGCGTCGCATGAGGAAGGATTTGACGAAGTCGAGTTGTTTTCCGTCAAGATCTTCCTGTTCCATCTTGTTGATTATGGACTCGTGTGGGACATTACCCAAGGCCTTTTTGATATCTATGGATGCAATCGCCCACATTTGTTTCTTGGCTGCAGGTGCATGTCGACATCTTTATAGATCATAAATAGGCTGTCATGAGTGCTAAGATTTGCACTAAAACCTGCCTAGCATGGGATGGAAGGTGCCTAGATTTTCTGCGTTGTATTGAATTCTGGCAAGCACCATGCGCCCAAGGAGTTTACTCATGATTGACGTAAGTGAAATTGGTCAAGTTTTTGGGGTCCGTCGCTGGTTTCCATGGCTTGGGTATGAAAGTGACGAGAAAAAGCTTCCATTCATTGGGTAACTGCCCCAATTCCCAAATGTCGTTAAACAATTTTAGGATAATGAGTTTGGTTGCATGGGGTGTATTTCTAAGCATTGAGACCATGATTCCTTCGTAGCTTGGTGCACTGTTTGTTTGGCATTGGTGAATGGCAGCTCCAAGTTCCCACTCGGTAAAAGGGAGGTCTTGGGGTTTGTCCAATGGTCCTGCATGTTTGGGCAGATATATCTCGGCTCTTGATTTGGTAGTGGGTTGCAGGAAGAATTTCCCCCCCCCCCCCCACCCCGTTTTTCTAGGATGTCCTCTGTTGCTTCGTTGGAAAGAAGGGTTATTACTGAGATGTGACTGACTCCCTTTCTTTTGCCCAGCGTAGAGTTGAAAGTTCTCCACACATCCCCCAATTCTGGTGCTCTTGTCGAAGGTTTTGCGATAATTCAACCAGCGTTCGGTGGCTAGTTGTCATGCATATACTCGTCTGCTTCCTCAATTAACTTTGTCAAGATGTTTTGTTTTGTTTTTTTCCTTTACGTTTTTTTTTTTTAGGGCTCTGGTTCTCTTGTCCCGAAGGGCCAAGAGGTGGTAGTCTGGTTCAGGTGTTTCAAACCCGACTTCTTTATTCTTTATTTTATTCTTTATTCAATGATTACCCCGCAGTGCCCGAGGGCGTTACAGCAGGGGGGGTTACAAGAATGAAAAGAACACGTCTTCATTGAAACAGCACACTTGCTCTTCAGACAGCCAATTCCACATTGCAATTGTTCGTACAAAAAAGGTGTTTGCAAACATGCATGTCCTAGCGCGGTACTCTCTAATTTTAAGGCTATGATCATTACGACTAGAAACATAATAGGGTTCTTTTAAGTAAGTCTCGCTATTTATTCCTGTTTTATTTTTAACTATTGGGTATAAAAATTTTAGTCGCAGTTTTTCCCGACGTACGGAAAGTGGTTCCCAGATTAACATTTTTTTTTTTTTTCATTTCTGTACAGTTTTCTTTCCTCCCGTATCGTCCAAGAACAAACCTAGCCGCCCTGTTTTGTATTTTCTCCAGCTTATCAATCGACGTTTTTTGGGCTGGGTCCCAGACAGCACATGCAAACTCTAAAATGGGTCTAACACATGTTAAATAAGCAGTTGTCTTTAAGTTAGGTTGTGAGCATTTTAAGTTATGTTGGATAAATTCTATGTGGGCATTCCATGAACAGTCAGATGACAATATGACACCTAAGTATTTGTACGTAAGTTCTTTGGTTATAGGGTTATTATTTATGAAATACTGAGATTCAATTTGTTTCCTTTTCTTTGTAAAACAAAGGTTAACACACCTTTTGTGATTTAAATTCATTTTCCACGTACGATCAAGGTCTACTTGCAACTGGGCGACATCATCTGAACTCCTAATCTTTCTATACACTACACAATCATCAGCAAACGGTCGAATGCAAGAGGAAATTCCAACAGAAATATCATTAATATAAATTAAAAACAAAAGTGGACCCAGGACAGAGCCCTTACTCCTGATGTTACATCAACGTAATCGGATTTCTTGCCATTCAGTACTACACATTGACGACGCTGGAACAAGTAATTTTCTATCCATCTAAGCACAGCCGAGTCTAGATTTAACATTCTTAGTTTTTTGTGAGAACAAGTGAGTGTGAGACCGTGTCGAACGCTTTTCGAAAATCCAAGAATATACAATATATTTGCCCTCCCTCGTCGACATCAGATGCAAGGTCATGATAAAATTAAACAAGTTGCGTAGTACAACAAAACCCCTTACGAAAACCATGTTCTTTAATCAGTAAGTTGTTTCTTGTCATATGACCGATTACCTCTGAATATAAAATATGTTCGATGACTTTGCATGAGACGGAAGTTAATGAAATGGGCCTAAAATTTACGACATCTTTTTTTGGCCACCCCTTATGGATAGGGACGACATGAGTTACCTTCCAGTCATCTGGCAAAAGTCCTATGTCCAGTGACTTGGAAAAAATTAAATAAAGGTAAACCGAAATTGGGTAAGCACATCGCTTTAGTACGCGCGGAGAAATGCCATCCGGTCCAGTTGCTTTTGTCTCGATCATCTATGTTTTTTAACGCCTTCTCAATACCACTCATGCTAAGCTCAACTGGCTGCATTGATTCCACCGTACTAACAATAGATGGATTAACATAGTTGTGTTTGGGCTAAAAGACAGACCGAAAGTAATTATTTAAGCACGTTGCTTTTTCTGTATCATCCGAAACTGTCTGTTGATTATATCTAATTTCACTTATTCCAACTGTGTCCGATCCACATCCCTTTAAATACTTCCAGAAATGCTTGGGGTTGGTTTTTATCCTGTCATTGAGTGTATTATGGTTCCTTAGCACCCTTTATGCTCCTTTTATATTCACGCGTAAGCTCAGCCAATTTTTCAAGGTGATTACTACTTTTGGTCTTCTTATATCTATCAAATGCTCTCCTTCGCTTTTTAATTATCCTAAGAGTACTTGAAGTTACCCATGGTTTTCTTCGTTTTTTTAGCTTTCTAGAATCTATTCAAGGAACATATACTCCTCAGAAAGACACTCAAATACGGAAAGGCAGTCAAGAAGCTCTTCAGAAAAACCAGGGTAATTGCCCTTCTCAAAGAAAAAGACTTTCCTCGATTCGCATGAATTTGCTCGGTAGATTTAAGTTTGGATATTTGCTACAACAGCGTGTTGGTCACTGATACCAGGGATAATATTAACGGTGTTAATAAGATGGGGAGGGCTACAAAACAAGAGGTCTAAAATGTTATTATATCTTGTTGGTTCACTCACATACTGCTGAAGCCCACACATATCGACAATGTTTTTCATTTCAAGATTAATTCGGCTACCAATCGTGCATACAGAAGTGCCATCCTCTAAGTCAGGCAAATTAAAGTCTCCCGCAAGGAGAATAATTTGGCTTGAGGCCTCAGAAACAATGTCGTATAGCGATCGGATCATACTAAGATCCGAATTTGGTGGTCGGTAATACGATCCAAGAACATAGGACGAGCTATCAGGTAATGTGACTGTGCACCAGATTGATTCAGTAGCGTCATGACCAAGTTTGAGTATGGATGATCTCAGCGATGAATGAACCAACAAGAAAACGCCTCCGCCGAGGCGTGACCTATATCTTTTTGATAAGAAACAAATCCTTTTCGGAAAGACTTCGCTATCACTGATGGAAGCGTCTAGCCATGATTCGGTTCCAAACACGATATCAGCCTTTACTGAGTCGATTAAGCCTGCCAATTCGACAACTTTATTTACAATGCTTCTGCAGTTTATTACAACAGCAACTAGGTCGCGACGAACGCGCTTCTCTTTTTTTTTCCTTTTTCCGTGGGGCGTCAGTCTTTTGTGACAGTAACAACTTGTTCTATTTCCGTATCCCATGTAAACACTTTATCATTTACGATGAGCTTATCAAAGTTTAGCCTTACACGGTTGCCACTATCCGCTTTTTTTGTTTTAGCATATTCCCAAAGTTTCTTTCG